AGCCTTGTTATTGTCGTGGAAGTCTGTATCTGTTGGCGTGGACTGCCATGGAAAGGCGTTCTCTCCTTCTGTTTACTTTGACTTTTAAATATTGTCCATATTTGTATCATAGATCCATTTTAAAAGAATATATGTTTTATGGTTCACATTGTAATAAATTCTATATATATTAGCACTCCCTGTCTTTACTACTTAATGAAAAGCTAATCGCATACCACAGATGAAACGTGAAACATTAAAGCTGAAATCTTGCTAAAGAACATCAGTCTAGTATAAGTTGAAAAGTGAAAATACTCCCAACATGTTTCACATGAAATGTTGAAAAGTAATTATGCAGTGTATTTCTGTGTGTGCAGGAGTATTTTTACTTTCTACCTTTAAGATAAATAAGGCGCCATACACCCAGCACCCATATACTGTATAACAGAGCCTGAAGTTTCTGAAGAGTGCCTTGTTTGCTGCTCTGATATAAGTCTAGCTTAAACACAGAATATCCAAACCATCCTGTGGGTAAGTGCTGAAACAAAGAATGATCTGACAGAGTTATTATGAATCACACTAGGTGGTTTTTATTGTGACCTTTCAAACTCTGAGGTCTCAGAGCTGACCGAATGCACATGTAGTAAATAGGTGAGTCTATACAACGTAAACCACACAAGAACTTCTCAGAGGTCACCTCGTATGACACCTCGTACAGGGCTACAAAACTATTCAGTGTGCAGATAATTCTTTGTTTTTCACTACAGAGTAACTTCTCAGTCAATGTCTCTTAAAGAAATGTCAAAATAAAACAGTATATAACATCAACCTTTCATTTTTTACTTTCTACTAACAAATTAAAATATGAAACTGATGATGAATGAAGAATGATTTTATTATGTATAATTAGTTTTACACTTTATAACAAAGTATTCCTAATACAAAAGCAATAGTTAATAAATTAAACTCTTTTCTTGCATTCATGAAAACATCAATATTAAAAGGTTACAAATGTAGTTTTGTATGACTTGAAATGTGTTGAGAGTTATTATAATGATAGAATCCGTTGATAAAAACCCAGTGTCATAAATTCACATCAGTAGTGTTCAGGTGTTAGTGTGAGTAAAAAGAAAAGCAGGAGCTGAAGAGCTGGAAGCTGGAGCTGTTTTCTCCTGTAGAGCTGGACACAGCTAATCACATCTGGAGGGTTCTGCAATCAGCTCCTCTGGCACCTGTAAAGACAACAATGGGTAGAGTTAAGCAGCTTCTTCCAAAGAGCCATAAAGCTACTGAACTCTGAGATCACCTCAGCATGAAAACCTCTCTGGCATGTGACAGTAATTAGGGGTGGCAATGTGAAATACACCGTTTACTAATATGTGCAATATACGGTTTGCTACTGGACACTGTGCAATAATAACTACTCAAGTCAGATCTTATTGAACGTTTATTATAAGGATCTTATTTTATATTTCTTATTGAACTGTACTACCTTTTTTGGCAAATTCTAACCCACCAAACAAACTCAGAGGCGGCTCTCACACACCTAATTTCTCGCCTTAACTAAACCATTGCCCTAGTTACAGCCCAGCTACCTGTCTGCAGGCATAACGCGCATTATATGCTGACAAAAAAGGTGGATGAAAATCTCAGCAGGTAGCCTACAACAGCTGTTCTGCCAAATTATGCATCCACCTCTTAAGCTCCTTATCAGAAACGTTGCTGATCAAACGCAGTTATCACCTCAGATTGTTTGCTGAATCTCAAGGAATGCTACAGCTACTGAGTGTAGCTCACAGTATGTACTTCAATCATCCCCACTGATGAACCTCACAAAGAATAGTATCATGTTATCGTTTTTAAACAGTAACGTTACACTTGGAGGTGCACGGCTCTCCTCGGGAGAGACAGCTAGCTCAAATAGTGGCATCGGTGCTCCTCGGTGTGATAGTTTCAGGCAGAACTCCGCAGCCGCTCCCCCGTCGGCTCTCTGCCTTTAAACCCTTCGTGTCCATCGGGATCAGGTGTAGCCACTTATAGTATCTGACTAACTGAACAGTGATTCCGTTACAGGACGTAGCTAAATCTCACATCGCCCGTAAAAGTTACCGTCAGCTAACAGAGCTGAGCCTTTACTTACAACTTCACAAAGATGCCTTTTCTTCAAAGCATTATCACCCTAATGTCTAACACTAAGGTTAATCTAATAACGTTACATTTTGGCTTCTCTCTTCTTGTTGACTTGTCTTTGACTCATTAAAAGCTGCGTTTAGAACACACTAACTTACTTACTTACACTAACTTAGCAGCTTGGGGCTGCTCATATCTGGCTAATTAGCGTAACAAGCTAATGTTAAGCTAACAAGCTATATGCCGACAGCTATACCTGTTAAATGTTAACGCATAAATAAAATACAGGAATTTCACTCACCAAGGAGAACACGGATTTCCTGGAGGTTCTCTCTCCAATGAACTGCACAGCCTGCCATTATTCATCCGGTATTTGCATGTAGAAATGTCCAAAAGGCTCCAACAGGCTGAGCCTCAGAGCTCTGTAGCTGAGTAAGTGGCTGCGGGGGAAAACACAGCTGAAAGGTTTTCAAACCGCTTATCTGTCTTTACATTCTGAGGAATGAGAAACGTTTTAATCATAGACTCTATATATTTTAAAAGCTGTGTGGATCTCTGGGTTCTATCTGCAATGCAAACCGGAGCAGGGCTGAGTAGAGCCAAGTCTATTGATTTGCGCTATGGTGGCATTTTTAGGCAAGGCAGCATAGATCGTCAGAACACCGGCAACAGTTCAACGTTTAGTCCTGCTGGTAAGATGTGGAACAATGATGTTGTGTGGTTGTGGACTGGTAATAACTTATACCATCTGCTAGGTTACGGTCGCAGTCTGAAGCGGCTTTGATTTGGATCACACTACCTTATCCAACGAAGGTTAAAATCAAGGGCAACTGGACTTGGTTGAAGATACTGGAAGACGTTTCATCCCTCATCCAAAGGACTTCTTCAGTTCTGACTGACTGGCAGGGAAACTCAGCTATTAACCTCAGTGGGGTCGTTGGCCCGGGTCATCGATACCGCTGGTTCGTTAGTGTTCCTTGTTGCTGTGACGACAGTCGTTAGGACTACCTGTGGCCAAGACTGAACGACCATCGTTGGTATCTTCACCTGAGGCCAATAGGTTACGTTTGTTGAGTTTGTTTGTTTCTTGAATTTAACCTCCCCTAACAGACTTCCACAAAGCTGAAACTGTAGTCAAGTTTCCACAGTTGTCCGTTTTTTCCTATTAAATTCAGCTGATTGCAGTAAAATGCCATAGTATATTACTCTTAAAAGGGAAATTATGAATGAGAAGTGTGTGTGTGTGTGTGTGTGTTTCTTTTAAGATGACTGGAAGAGAGGCTAAGTTACACTCTTAATCAACAACAATGTTTTTCTGTGAATGGATGTGGCTAGCTGTATGGACGGATTTAACGTCATATTTTGACAGAATACATAAATAGTGCCTGTAAAAAAAGATACTGTTAATAGATGAATAACTGAAGCGATATACAATGGGCTTTAGCACGTTAAGTGCTAAGTATAATAGGCTCAATCAATATGCTATATTTAAGGAATTAGCCTTCTAGTTTCCCGTTACAATGTTGACTAAATAATTAAATATAAATCAATGACAAAACCTCTCCCCCTATGTCTAGATGATTAAGCTTTTTTTTTGTAGTTTTTGCGTGTATTTCCTGTCCTGACCGGCGTGACAGTGGAGGTGGCCTAACAGAGGAGGTCTGCAGCGGAAGTGGCCTGACAGTGGAGGTCTGCAGCGGAAGTGGCCTGACAGTGGAGGTCTGCAGTTGGACCCTCTTGTTTTGTTCTGACTAGAGTTTGAAAGTATGTTTAGTTGATGTTTTAGGTCAGGTTGTCTGTCCATTACTTTGGTCCAGACCAAACTATATTCACACCTATTAAATGTAAATTTTGTAAAAATATTTATAGTGGCTTCAAGGAGGACTTTTCCCTCTGCCACAGCCATAATAGCATATTGGGTGGGTTGGTGGAGACAATCAGGTTGCCAATTGGGTGAACTGACTTTTCATTTAGCGCCATCTTGAGGTCATATTTCTGTTGTAAAACAGCCTGCCCCAGGAAATCAGGTCAGTTGAGTCAGTGAACTCTTTTAAGTCCCTTCTTAAAACATAGGAGAGCCTTTCCCGATCTTATTTGACTTTATTTTATCCCTTTTTTCTTAAACGTGTATTTTAGTCTTTTCAATGTTTTCATGCTTTTATCTTGTATTGTTTTTGTATTATTGTCTCTTGGGTATTATTGTCTTTACACTTGTTAAAGCACTTTGTAACTTGTCATTATTATTTTTATTATTATTTGATAGGGAGTAATATGGTTAGAGTCAAAACCTGCTTTTCCTGCTTTGTTCTATTAATGTTACAATATAGTACACTAGCCTACAGTGTGTGTGTGTGTGTGTGTGTGTAAATGCAAATATAGAGGAAATACTATATGCAAACATCGAACATATAAAAACAAAAGATATGCTAATTTTGTTTGCCCTTCATCTCATCCACCCAATAATTTTACTTAATACTAAAACAGAAAACCTAGGAAGACGAAGCATATCAATTCTCTCGTAAAACACCAGGTGCGGGAGAAAGAAATTATTCTTTTTTATCAGTGTGGCTTTGTTGAAAATGTTAATGTTAATGTAAATAATTATTTGACTTTTGATTTTTATGTTATTTTGTTAAATTGTAGGCCTTCATAGATAGCTATAGTGTAAAAGCTAAGAAAACAGGCGCAATATATTCCACAGGCTTTTATTGTGCTCTGAAATCAGAGCTTCAGATCGAGTTAGAATAATCAGCTCGTTTTCGAATTGACGTGACTGTGTGAAATAGGCATATCCTACTTGTAGAATAGTGCTATCCCTTTTAGAAATTAAGTTCATAGAAGCGTGCAGCACGCAATTAAACCAATCTTCATTCAACAATAATTAGGCCTACCTGAAAGTAATGGTTGATCCAGGTGAGCGCTTGGTGAGTATCCCTCTAACGGCAGACAGCCCGTGCAGACTGCTGGACTAGACAGGTACAGGTGAGTTAAATATTTAGAGCACTACGCCCTGAGATTTGCCGATCAGGCAACCTTTACGCTGAGGCAGAACATTCTCCATAAAAGCTTCACAAATCAGAGTATAAGTCCGATCCGTAAGAGGCCGTTAGTTTATTTAAAGTAACGTTCTAAGCATAATCTCAAATTATAATAGCATTTATTTGAAGATGAGCATCACTGCCTGAGAAGACAGCATCGGGGGTAAATAAGAGCCTGTTTATAACAGGTGAAGATTAAGGTTTCTGTAACTCGCACTAGCCGAACAACTTTCGCAAGATGTCTTACGTACCGGAGGCTAGATCTTTGTTTTGTCTATTACAGGTGAAATATCTGTGGGATGTGTACGGTGGTATTTTTATGCACAAAATAATCTACAGTACATTATATTTTCCTTGTAATTATGATTTAGTTTTCCTAAGTGCTACTTTTATATAGGCTACTTTGTTGTGTATTATTGTATAATTGTTTTATTCTATCCAAATTTTCAGCCTCCTACACTGTGCAGTCCTGTTTTGTGAAAATAAAGCTGAATCTTGATTTTTACATTTCAGATATAAGGTAATTTGTCTGTCTTTAATTAGTAAGACAGACAAATTACCAAACGGCCATTACTAATTAGTAAGAAATTAGTAATAGCCAGAGTTGGGTAAGGTAATTTTCTAACTGTAATAGGTTAGTTAAAATGTAATAGTAGTGTAACTATTTCAATTACTTTAACAAAGTAATGTAACTTATTACATTAATTACTTTTTGATTACATTTCTATTTTATGAATTAATGTTTTAAACTGTTAACCATTTTCAAAACATGAGAACCAATCAAAAGCATCAGAATATAATCAAACTTTACTAAAGGGCTGTGGCTGTAAATGGAAAAGGAAGACATTGTGCACATTAGGTACATACAAAGCAACAACATGAATATTAGTATTCAACATAGTCTATAGTCTAGTTTATTAAAGACAATATTAAGATGTTTCCCCCAATGTATTTATGTACATTTTCATAAGTTACTGTAATTACACTTTTTTACAGTTACATTTATTTTGTAATTAAATTACCTAGGCTGCCTAACTACATTACATGAAGGCTAAGTAGTTACTCCCCAACACTGGAAATGGCACATATGGCCTCATTGCACTCATATTTTGCATGTGTTTTATATGCTGTCAATTTGTTCTGCAATTATTTTCTGTGGGAGGACTATGTTAACATATCGCAAGACTGGACATTACCATTCCCATTATTAATATGGCACATGGTTTTGCCTCACTGCACGTTTTTCATTTTGGAAGTCATTTAGTACTGCAGTAACATATTTTGGACACAAGAGGGCGCCACAGTTCTGTATTGTCTTTCCAGATAACCTCCATAATACTTTTAACATCATTTAATATTTTGGGGGATTTTACTTTACTCTCTGACCAGTCTGATTCGTCTGATTTAGGTTTCAGCATGTGATGTTGGTCAGACAGAGAGAGAGAGTCAAGTAGCTTCCCACCAGGTGTGCTCAGAGCCTTGAAATAAGATAATAATAATCCAATAGTAATAATATCTTATTAGCGTCTCTGGGTGTACACTGAGAAAGATCTAACAACATAACACCAATATATATATTTTTGTTTGTTTGTATTAAATACACTTTACAGACAGTACAGAATTTCATCTCAAAGACATAAATTATAAAACACAATATATAATATCTTCTTAGCAACATGAAAATAAAAGATTTTGGGCATTTCTGTATCTCTTTAATAAAGACAGAAATCTCTGTGTGTCTCTCTGTTTGTATTTCCGTTATGTCAGGAACCGTTCATCCCCTTATAATGGTTATTACTGACAACTGATTATTACTGTTTGTAACTGTTTGTATTTTCTAAGTATTTGACACATAAACAATACATACAAACAGTACATAAACAATTTCGTTCCTCCAAAACATCTTTTTACAATTATAACTGTGTTTCTGGTTGAGAAACACTTATGTAAGGCACACAAACACAATATTAATCTCTTTCTGAACATATTGTTCTAACCGTAATATACAGGTTGTGCTAAAAACATCTTTAAATTAAAAAAATGTCAACTTATGTTGCTTTAGCAGAAAATTACATTAGACAACATTACATTATTAGACTTAAGAAACCCTGAGTTTTATCTCTGAATTATATTTTTGTAAACCTGTGGACACCGTAACCATATAGCCCATACCCACTTAGAGCTGAGTATTGTTCAAAAGGTATCAATAGTTTCATATATAAAATACTATTAAAAAGGAATATTTTAAACAGAAAATGTCTGACCAATCATTAAGCAGCATTAACAAGCATTTGGTGCTAACTTTTGGTAGTTGGCTGTTTTTGGGACAATTATGTGCTTTGGACATGATTCACTTGGCAGTCAAAATGTATCTTGAATCAATACCCATCCCTAGTCACAACACAATCACACTTTTAAGCTGACAGCAATTATATAAATATGTAATACACAAAACACACTCTTCCATACAGTCATCATTAAAGGAATTGCAGATGGTAGCCCACAGAAAATACCAGCACTGATGTCTATATCTAGTTACCAAATGATTTGCACAAATATATACATGGTTTATACAGCTCAATTAGAATATCCCTTCCTGAACGGATTTCACTATAAACAGATGAATTGATTAGCTTTTGAAATAATTCAAAAATTATTATCTGCTCTCATAAAATCCTGTGGTTGTCATAAAATCACAAGCCAGCCGCACTAGAGTCCACTTGGAGGCAGACCCTTTTTAAGCATCTCGGCCCAGTTGTTTAGGCTGCGCCAGAGTTTGATTGACAGCTTTCACAATGCCCAAAAGAATTATATTAACTGTTCAAACGCACCAGGATCTGTTTTCACCGAACCAAACAAGTTAGGTGTGAAAGCAGTTACTTTTTGTTGCTGCTAAAGCCTTTCTTGTAGGGACCACAAATCAGCTTAGGATCATGTATTCTGTGCCACATAACATACATGTGAGCTGAAAGGAATCGATGTACCAGTAAAACGTCTTTAAAATAGCAAGGATCGAATTTATCTAGGGTGCTGGATGGAATGTACAGTCCTGCCGTCTTCACACCCATATGGGAAACAGGACTGAGTCCTGCTTTGGCCAGACACATCCCCATGTAAACATCATCAATGGGAAGAATGGTAATGGTCTGGGACATATTGTATATTACCAAAGCGGTATAGCCAGACAAGAGGAAGCCCCCACCCCCACAGTAAGGGGGATAGGAATCTGACTCCTGTATCTGAACTGGGATAAAATATTTGCTCCCTGGTGATCTAATGGGCCCCACATACTGGATCAGATGGCCAGTAAAGAGGTGCTTGCTTCCATTATTATCCTTGAGGCCTTGGAGAAACTCAACCATGTTGTCTGTGTTGGCAAAGACATCATCATCACCATTTAGCAGGAAGCGAGCGTTCGGACAGTTTCTTTCCATCCATTCTAAGAAGAGAATCTGCTTCAAGGTGAGGTTGTAGAATGTGTCACTAAAGTCCCATTGGAGGATGTCGTTGTACTCCTGTTGCTCCAGCTCGAGTAGTTTGTTCAGTCTCTCTTTCTCAAAACCAGTCTCAGTTGTTCCTGAGATGAAGATCCTTCTGATCCACACACCATTGTGTAACCTCTCTTTAGCCCAGGTTTTGCGCAGAACCTCTCGACGGTCGTAGTTCACAGGGGAACTTTTAATGACCAGCAGAAGGAAGACTTCTGCTGATTTATCAGCTCCTCCACATTTATCAGGAATGTCCAGTAGCATGGGAAAATGGCGACAGTGTCGATAGTAGAGAAAGTCTTGTATGCTACCAGGAAGAGAGCTGAAGCCTTTGATGTTGGCAGCAGACACATTTCGTTGACATCTTGTCCAGGTGTATACGTAGGAGTTGTTTTTGGCCGGTTGCCTTATTTTACTGTCACTGTCCTTCACATCTACTTGAATGTGAATGGTTTTGTGATCAATAAAGTCTTTACAAAGATGGAGGACCAACAGACCAAGAGATCCAGCCAGCACCAACGTTTTTGCTTTGATGTTTCTCATCCTTGAAGCTCTGCAGTGAAAAAACAAAACACTTGTTTTTTTAATCAAAACATTTCAGATATCAGACATCAGACCTGCACATACTGCAGAGGCTTTCACACCACACCAGTTTAATGAAATGTGTGGGGCCACAACCTCATTTGTACACTACCTTCCCAGTGCAAAGTAATCAAGCAGCTGGTGAAGAAACATACAATACCATGCTAAACAGACCCATATTTCTCTTTCTCTGGAGTTGGTGGGCCAAACCAAAGCTAAAAAAAATAGGATAGAATATTGGAATTTTGACAGATTTACTAAACAAGATACAAAGGTCCCTGCTTGATGTGTATGTAGGCCATTTGCTCACACATTAGTCAGAACTTGATGATACGATGTATCAGGGGTTGTTGGTTTTGGAGCAATTTAAGCTTGACACCAGGATTAAGATTAACAACACTTTCATTTAAATAAAAAATAATAGTAATTTAAAACCAAATCTTCTACATTTAAATGAAATGGTCAAACAAAATGATGTGTGTTGAAGTGAAGTGAAGGCAGCCGATATCACTGAAGGTGGAATAAACATCAAAATCTGATATTCTGTTTCTATGATGACAAGCAGCACAGTGTCCCTGTTAGAACCAATGAAAATGCCCAAAGTCACAGCTAAGGGGTTTCACTCAGTGACACTCTTGAAAGTGATGGCTTTTAAATCAATCGCTCTCCCCTTACCCACTCACTGCGTTAAACACAGCATGCATCTGTTCTGTCTTTTCACTGCAGCTCTGCATTGCGATGTAATGTTATATATTCATTACTTTAAAAAGTAACAGTGGCAGTAAAACCTTTTCTCGCACTGTGATGGTATAACTTTGCAATCAAACCACAGTTCACCTGCGTCCCAAACCACTGTGAGGGAGGTGGGGGTATTTTCATGACAAAAATAAACGTTTCAAAACATCTCCCCTCTGTTTTGTCCCACAAATCACACCCTGTTATAGCCTTAGATATGAAATGGACAGAAAGAGGATTGATATGAGGATTTGTAGGTACAGCGCGGGTGGCTCAGCCTGAGAGAGAGAGAAAGGGACAGGGAAAGAGGTGTGTGAGTAGCCATTCCCTGTGAGCTAATAGGCTAATAATAACATTTTTCATTTAAATTAAAAAAAAGTTTTCAGTTCAGGTTTTAATTTCATGAAAAATTCCACAAAAAAGAATTGTTGTAGATATTACACTACTAAACCACCATGACATTTTTCCTGTCGAGCACCGCCTAGAGGCAGCTCACGTGCGCGCACCACACTGTCTGAATCGCTGTCTTAAAGCAAATAGGCAGTATACACAGGGTACCCAGTGTGACAGTTGGTTGACAGGAAAAAATATCCTGCCAGCAAATTCATGCTATTATTAATGTTCAGAATGAAATAAATAAAATTAACACTCCTCCATCAGTCACGTAAACTACTTCATGCAAGGTGGTAGAGGTCTCTCAAGTCTCACAGAACATAACAATTCCTGTCAAATTAGTTTACGAGTTGCCCTGATCACATATGAATGATGTTCTTATGTTGCTATAAATGGTTTGGGGACAAACATATTGTTGAGAACATTGAGAAAGTTATGAATTTGTGCATGCACAAATTAAATGAGTGCATAAATGTAACAAATAAGGCCTATTTAGCCCAGGCTCAGTGTGTATTTTGGAAGTGTTACTCCCCTTGACCACATGACAACTTATTTTCTGAATCTGTACGTTGGCGGGATGGGTACTGAGGTGTTTAAGTTATCAATTTCTGAATGATCAGAACTAAAATAATGTTAAGCTCTTGGGCTATTTCAGTATCAGAATTTGGTAAGCATTTTAAAGTGCGACTACATATGTAATTGTCTGTAAACTGCAGTTGTAAAGAACATGTAAAAATACTTGGAGCTAACACAGGTGAAACACAGCTTGTGCAAAGTGTATTCATAATATATGTTGTAATGGAGGTAACACTAATAAATCTAATAAAGCAGTATGGCATCCAGCACCAGTCTACGCACTAAAAGTTAGCGACTATCAGAGTACTTTTTCTAGTCTGTAGGTCTTCCTGAGGTCAAAATGATACAACTCTGCTCTTAAATGAGCATAATGCTCATTCTGCAGCTGCCCAGAGCATCATTTCAACCAACAAATGATTTACTGGAGATAGAGAGAACACCTAGTCTGGAGGTGGTTTTAAATTGATCCAAGATTCAAAATCATTCAAGATTTTCTTCTGAAGCATATAGATGGTAGAGTGTTACTTGATATCGACAATAAACTGCCCCTGAACTACAAACTCAGTTAAATTTGCTAGAAGCACAGACTTTTAGCATCAACTGTTCAGAAGAGATTTATTGAGCTGGCCTCTCTGGAAAACGATGCATGAAAATACACTTAGTCAAATTATTGTCTCTTGAGTCCAGAAGAACTCCTTTCAGTTCTCAAAATATAAGGCACAGACAGGTTGAATGCTTTAAGTTAAAGCTTTTTTGCGCATTTCGCCATACTCGTCTAAACAAAAGGCGTGACCAGACTGAACTTCGGAGCAGACATGAGGTGACTTGGCATCTGCCTGCAGACTCCTCACATGCTGTACTGTTACATAGGGTGTAGGGTGGCAACAAATCAAATGCTGTCAAGTCTCCTCAAAATGGGTGGAATATGTTACATAGGTGATGTCAGACATTAAGTCATTACAACAAACTAAATACCCATTTCGTGAAACATGTGAGAAAAAGAAGCTCCCGAGATTAACATTTAAGGCAAAATGACACACCTAGACTCATCACTAGCCTCACACTGCTACACAGCATCAGGAAATCATGCAGTAAACACCCAAATGACGGATTGAACCACATAAAGGTCAAACATTAAGTGCCTGAAATGAGCTTAGTTATTGTACGTGCATAATACAATCAGTTAGTGGAGTATTTTCTTCACCAAATAAACGGCAGATCACATATTATTGTACTACAGTGGAAGACTACAAAGCTATACTGTTTGGATTTTGTTAAGACTTGATTCAGCTAATTTCTTGTGCTGTTAAGATTTAGTGAAGGTCTTTTTGTTTCCAATGTTTCCGCCTTGCTGTCTATTGCATGCCTTTTGTATCATATCCTACTTGCGATGTGAAATTTCCATGTCGTCACAGTTTGCTCCTCAGACAACATTCCCCGCCCTCTGCACCACATAACTGAACTGCACCGTTTGCATGTTCTCTCTGCGTTTGACACACTGACACATACAACACATATTAACTTCATCAACAGCAGTCAATTTATACTTTACTTGTTGCGTTTGTGAATAAAATTACCCTCCAAATCTTCAAACTGTATGGTAGATTCACCTTAAGTTTGAATTCTTGTGAGATGGTGGCCTATTTTAAGTTTACTTTCAGTTCTTGGCAATCTGCTTAGGAACAGTGACTGAACAAAGATGAAGCTCAGTCCATGCTTCATAGTAAAAGTCAAAGGGTTTTTTTTTTTTTTTAGAAAACCATGTTTACAGATTTTTGTTCTCTGCTTTCTAAATTATCTGGAGATCATTTTGGTCAGTAATGACATGTAAAACCTTCAAATTCAGTTTCTATTCTTGAATGATAGTTTGTAATGGTGTGCAATGTTACCTTTGTAACAGTTATTAACTGGCGGGAAGTAACAAAGTACATTTACTTAAGAACTGTACTTAAAGACGTACTTGTGCTTTACTTGGGTACACCATTTTATGTTACGTTATAGTTTTACTCAACTACATTTCAATGAAAAATTATCTAAAATTTCTCAAAAAAAGCAAAGATTAAAGAAATTTGATCTTGGGGCCTGTATAGAGAGCCTGACCCCTATTCACCACTGGACTAAACTATCTAACTACATATGACGCAGTTAAGCTACTTCCACCTCAAGCAGTAAAATACTGCTAAGGTACTCATTGATGCATCAGTATTAACAGTTTAATAATATCATATATGATAATATATTTATTACAGGGAACATTTTACAGCAGAAGGAGGACCTTTACTTTTGATATTATATTATTATTAGTGGTAGGCCTATATTTTTCTGATAATAATTCTGTACTTTAACTTAAGTAGGATCTGAATGCAGGCTTTTCCCTTCTAGTTGAATGTTTTGCATTGTATTGGTGCTTTTACTTAAGTAAAGAATCTTAACTTAAGTAATTATTCCACCTCTGTCTATAAACACATAATTAGACTACATGAAAGGTTTTTTGAATTAAAACAGACATTTTACTAAAAACTTTTGATAGACACAAATATACATGGCATATTAAGTATGAACATATAAACAGTAAACTGAAGTTTAAACTTGTTCCTTCATTTAGCTACGTTGCTTCAACAGCTACGTTTCCTTAAGCACGTCACATGATATTTCCGTTTTCTACGAGAATGAAAGAATATCAGAATTAAAGTTAATTTAAAACAGCACACATAAGTTTGCTCCGTGACAAATATAGAATGGAATAATAATGGTGTTCTTCAGATTTAATGGCACAATCACCATCTCTACACCCATGCACGCTTTACATGCTTTTGTCAGGAGAGTGCACATTAGCCTCAAGACAGACTGCTTAACTGAAGGACACTATGAATGGCGTGCTCAATGAAATAATTTGAAGGATCAGGTGACATTTACATTAAGCAAACTATGAATAGAGAAGTGTGCGTATTCTAGTTTCTGCAAGACAGGACTGTGAAATAAACGCATTTAGACACATAGCCTACTTTATCTGTTTTTGTCTAAAACCTTTTTCAGACACGATCGTTGATTTGCCAAAGGCCTACGCTTGTTATTTTATCAAGTTATTGTATCAACTAACCAACAGTTAGTTAGTGATTATTTTTCAGTTAAGCCTCGTCGAAAATCCAGGGGTTAAAATCTGCTGATGTGAAACATCTTTCCGTTACTTTCAATAGGAAACTCAAATGCACTATGAAGTTCGTTTGAATAATTGACTTATTTTTATAATTGACTTACCGTTTAAGGGAGGCGTCAAGGGAGATTGATCCACTCGATCTTCTATGAAGCTACAAAGATTAATAAATCCAGTGTGCCCTCCATGGTCTGCTTTACTTTGTAGTCTGTGGGAGGTGCCCCTCTCTCTCTCTCTCTCTCTCTCTCTCTCTCTCTCTCTCTCTCTCTCTAGGTGTGTGTGTGTGTGTGTGCGTGTGTGTGTGCGTCAGAAAATTCTAAGTCAGACTCAAGTCACAAATTTGATGACTTTAGACTTGCCAAAATCAAAAAAGACTTGCAACTTGACTTGGACTTTAACACCAAAGACTTGTGACTTGAGTTTAAAAAGTTGAAAGTCATTCACAAGGCATGCCACAAATCAATTCATTGCCCCATATTTCCTGAATCAATTAAATACAGTCAGACAGGACAGAAACACAAAATTCATTCTGTTTTGGTGCTGGCTAATTGTATTTTATGCTGAGAGCTTTGGTAGCCAAATGGTTCCAGTGCTTGGTACTGACTACGCAGTCTTTATTGCTATCCTTTGTTGCTGTCATACCCGTCTCTCTCCCCTGTTTCCTGCTATTAAAATGATGTGTCAGCCCACTTAACAAACTTGTGTTAACAAATGAATACAAATTTTAAAATGCATTCATGATAAATTCATGTGTAAATGTATTATAATTTCTTAAAATAGCTTATACAAACCATATATATGTATATAGTGAAGAGCATGTAATGACTCAAAACTTGCCTTTTTTGACTTTTTGTATTGGGACTTAGGGGCAAAGGCTTGAAAGGTCTGACTTACAAAACAATGACCTCTGGAACGCAGTGTAGAAAATTGCCAAACAACCTAAACCAATATGTTTTACAGTAAGGTTACATCTCTTTTTTTATTATTTGATTATTATTAAATTATCCAATTAATTGCATAAAATACCCGTTGAAAATATCACAACTACTTTCCTAATGTTATACTTTTTACTGGATTTAAGTATTCATCCTGAAACACTGCTGCTGCTCTTTAGAACTTTTAATCAATATTCACTCTGCTTCAAAAAGCAGAATTAATGTTGAACCAAACACAAGTAATGAATAACTTTTTAAGCTACCCTTTGAACCCTTATGAGTTGCTTCTGACCATATGACTCTTCCTGTCCTGAAGGTGGACCTTGATACTTACTCTCTTGCTGGACAAATACCACAGTGAAGATACACATGATAACAGCTTCCCATTCATGTTTACAGTGGACACAAACAGATTGAAAAACAATACAGAGTGAAAATAAAGCTTCACGGTGTTAACACTTCTGTGAATGTAGTTGCCTAAAACCGCTGTACTCCCAAAAACCAAATGTAACTCCTGGAATAAAATTTCAGCCGTTTATTGATACTAGAAGACAGGTATACATAGGTAGGTAAGCAGGCAGACAGGCAGGGAGACGCAGGAAGTTTCAGGTACGGGTTGGGGTACAGGATCAGGTTTCTTGCTTTAGGCAAAAGAATGTGGTACATGGCAACTTTCATGGTCTGATGGACTGATGAGGGAATACGATGTAGGTAGAGGGGGTGTGGCAAGGCAACTGCAGAGCATGCAGAGCAGATGATGGGAGTGGAAACAGGTGAACACTGTTGGGATAGTCAGGTGATGAGGAAAGTAAAGAAACTCTGTGGGCATCTGGTGGATGGATGGACAATGGCAATGAAGGGCCCTGGGAGCTGGAGAGGAGCAACAGATAGATAGACTGTGACATCTGTGTGATATTGCCTTTTATTTATTACCACACCACATGCACACAAGAGCGAAAAAGCACAACCAAACAAAAACTGCAGCTTTACTATATTTGGACTGTATCTCACTGCAATGCAATACAGATGAAACTCAGCAACATTAACATTTAATGTGTTATAAACTGACACAGCCAGCAATGCTTGACAAATTTCAAGTGTTTCAAAGGTGGAAGTCTCAAGTGCCCTCAGGGACAGTGGTGCAGCAGCTGAACAGGGTCATGACAAGGCCAAGTGCTAAACTCAGAGCAGGTTCTCAGGTCGTTGTTTATGTACTATTCGTGATAGGAAATTAAATATCATCCTGTACATTTTAATCATTTCAAGGTTCGAGGTACATTTTAATCATTTCAAGGTTTCGAGGTACATTTTAATCATTTCAAGGTTTCGAGGTACATTCATTTGTCATTCTATAACATTGCTAAGAGGAATTAGAGGAATTAGGAGGATAAAACCAAGAGAGCCACACCTTTTTAGTGAAGATTCAACAATGATCAAGGATCAAGTATCAAAGGAATGTATTTGTCATTATGCAATACAAGGTTGCACAACAAAATTAAGTTTGTAGTCTCTTCGTGCTATATAGAACATAACTGATTATATTACATTTATGTCACAGTATGGTTTGGGTAAATATTTGAGCAAGACTGGCCTGTGTGGGCCGATTCAACAAATGAGCTAAAGGTCAAATTGCAGAAAAAGGTAATGCTGGTTCTGATAGCAAGGTGTCAGAACACACAATGCATTGCAGAGTATGTGGCTGTAAAGCCGCAGACCAGTCAGGGAGCCCATGCTGACCCCTGTCCATTTCTTAAAGCGCCTACAACACGAGTTCTAGGTGTTACTTGGCCTCCAAATTGGGAAACAATGATCTAATATTGATCATTGTGTCATAACTCAATATTTACTCAGAGTACGATTAGTTCCTAAGAAAAAAACGTTCTTAGGGAAAAGGTTACTTAAGTCAACAAAAGAAACTACAATGGCGTCAGCTTTTGATGTCACAAGTTTGATGTCTGATTATAATCAACGGTGACTTTCCAGTAGGTGACAGGTGACTTAAATTCAAATGTTTGGTAGTAAATAAGCAAATTAATTGATTTCTTAAATGTGCTATAATGAATATGCATACAGTATATTAACAATTAAATCAAATGTCTATGTGTAATGTAAAAGGGGTCACTCATAATGAAGAACCCACACAGAATTATCACCGGATGCTGAAGGTCCACTCAGCTATAGAGAGCTTTATAGCATCTTTCAGCACCTTGTTTTGGTTTTACTACCTGCAACTTTACTGTGTTAGTTCACAGCTCTCGTCAGAATTATTTTTAGACACAGGCAAAAATATATGCCACCTGCCCAGTAACAAATGGCAGAAAGACAAAGTTAGCAACTTGCCAGTTTGAATACCTAGCTAATTTAGCATATCAAGAGACAGCAATTTCCACCGGTTTTAGTGAGACAGGGTCTGAAGCAGTTTCTCAACAAAGTGGCAGGTAGCTCAGAACGAATGACTGGCTTAGCGCAAAGACTGGATCCAGGGAAAAACAGATAAAAGGAAAAAATATTTAAAAATCCATATATCCAGATGTAATAATGAGTCTTTACACATTGACAGACATGTTTACAGCAACCAGTGATTTATTGTAAGTCATCAGTCTCCTTATTATTCATATGATAGAAAGTGATAACTTAACATACATGACAGCATTGATAGGAAACATGTATAGTCATGTTTTGAAACATTTATTTCGTTTCTAACAATTCTATTCAGTTACAGGCACTCGTCGTTTACAATTCACAAGTTTTCAGTTTAAGTTGAGTCTGTGTGGTGGATCCAACTTACTTGAGTTTCGTGTTACAAACTTGGGTCTCTAATCCTAACACACAACCTTATGTCAACTGTACCATAACAAGTTATTTAAATAGAAAAAGACATTAGTGCCCGTCACTGTCACTTCCCTCCCTTTAATCCAACTGACTTCTTTCTCAACCATATCCTCTTTTTAACTTAATTTTATTATCAGCTTATTTCCCTGTACCCAACACATTGTCATACACGATGACTCACTTTTAAGTTTACCAAGCAACACACTCACACTGAGGATTTTTTTTTGTATTGGGCTTAATCTGTATGTACTATTTTGATCCTTTTATCTTTTTAGGTGTGACAAATTACCACCTGTCCAGGGACAGCAGATGTAAAATAGCCTTTTGGCTAATTCTGGCACATTATACATGTATGTATGTATTATTAATGTAAATTGTCCAAATAAACCTGAAATAAACAAATACATAAACAAATAAAATAAGACACCTTTATTAAAATGATCACGTCATTTTAAGATTCACTCAGTGTGGGCACTTGCAGTTGCTTTCTGGACTATTGTCTTCCTCACAGGGATGAAAACATATGTCCATTTTGCGTCGGATGCGCCTCCGTAGATGAAAGCGCCGCTGCACTGAGATGGTGTTGTACTCTTGGGCTTTTAGCTTGGCATAGTAATCAGAGAACTTGTTGAAGAGGAGCGAGATCGGCATGCCGTTCAGGATGATGCCAAATGAGATGCAGCCAAAGGCCACAACACGGCCCAGTATAGTCACAGGAACCACATCACCGTAGCCAACAGTGGAGATGCTGACCTAAGAGAGAAAATTGAACAGTAGATTTTCAACATTTTCTTCACAACAAAATGATCCCTTATGATGATTAGAAGAATGAGGCTCCACAAACTGAAATATCTTATCTCCTGAGACGACACTTTCCAGGTGTGATGCTGCTAAACTGGTATTATTTAGCAAGATTTGATCAGTTGTTTAGTTGGGAAAGTCCACTTCCAGTTTTATTTATCATAATTATTTTGATGATGATTTTGAAGTGGCTTTTAACAGTGCGCAAGAGCTGTATAGGTGAAATAAGATGAGAACTTTCTGAGACCGTAATCTGTACAACCAGCTAGACTACTAAACCAGTAGGCCTATTCAGAGAACAGACATGTCTGTCGTCAGGTTTAACATCTGCACCGGCTGGCCATGAAGGACTGTCGTCTTTCGGCTTTCACGAATGCTACACAAAGCAGAAAAAGGAGTCTCATGCAGCTGCAAGTTTCAAATGGGCTTATCATGGTTTGTTGCCCTGGCCCAGTTTGGATTAATTCAAGCAGCTTAACAAGGAACAGCAGGATTCACTAGCAAACAACCACCTGTAATGTAATCCTTTTCCTTCTCCATTAGCCAGCAAGGATAGACCAGTGATTGCATTTCCATGTTCCTGATATAGTGCTAGTTTGTGCCTGGTGACAAATTGTACCACTACGGGGAGGGGCATCCTAAACACACATCTATCTCATCTAGGTGTAAAGTAAAGTATTACCACTATTTTTAACACGTAAGCCCAGATACACAAATATAATGTTTCATAAATCTGCAAAATAGTGTCTTTTCTTGTTTCTTTTGATATTAAACTTATAATTATTAATTTCTAAAGCATTATTAGCTGAATTTCTTAATAATTATGCATGAATATTGATGTTAAGCCAACTATTTAAAACTTGGTGGCTAGTATAAACCATTATTCAAGAAACCTCCAGTACTGAATTATGTTAGTCCAGAAAACAGTCTTAGGAAGCCTTATGGACTGTAATTCCCTGGTGTTGCAGTCCTTGTCCCCGGGGTAACACTGTCTTCCTTATAGCCTATTCATCCCTTCATGCATGCGCCCTAACAAACAGAAGGAGTCACAGGTGCAGCAACAAGGTCCCTGAGGCCCATTTCAAAAAGGTAATAAAGCTGTTTACACTCAGATTGCAAATAGGTACAGCTGTCCCACAGCGCTTTCTTATGTACATGCATGGGTTGCAAGTTTGTATAATGTGTAAAAATGAATGTTGTAAATCTGACGAAGCTGAGCCCAGATCCCTTTGGCTCAGTTTCACCACTGGCTTCCCACTCAGTAACAATTGTATCTGTAGGGAAATACACCATGTTTATGTCAGAGGGCAACATATTCACACTCCCAACTCATCAAATGTGGGTGCTTGGCCAGTGGCCCTACACTTCAAACTACGCTCTACGTACCCCTCTAGCATCAGTTTTACCAAAACCAGCTTACTACGCGGACTTTTGCGCTCTGTGTACTACATCAACCAGACTCTGAAGGCACATCAATACATCACACTAGAGGGGCACCTCCAGAAATGATGCTAGAGGGTTACCTATAGTGTCATAGTTTGAAGCATATACGGCTACTAACCAAGCTGCCATATTTGATGAATTAGGAGTGAGAACGTGTTGTATAGGACACTATTTTAAGGTTAAATTTAGCATTAACATTATGTTTATGTTTAAAGAACAGCCAGTTAATAACATAAATAGTATCATGAATACTATGTTTATGAAGGTTAATCTTGAGGTGCTCTTCAAGGCACCTCCTCAAAGCTAAAGTATTTTCCATAAATTTTCTGTAGATTTTCCTTTCAATCAAACCTCTGCAGCTAAAAGGAGAGATAAGAGATTTTATCCAGTGAAACGCGCTGCTGTGATGTCAGCTTGGAATAAAAACCTTTATCAGGTGGTAGTGTTGCTGACTATATCACATATTTGTCTTTGTCAGGTGTAGGAAGAGGAAGAAGACAGGTGAGGGGAAGATTTTTGTAGATTAGAAAAAAACTGAGGTCTAGAAGAGCATGGTGCATGACATTTAGTTATTCAACTACTGATACTCACTGCAGCCCACCACCAGGCATGTGGGATACTGTGGATAGGAGATCCCTCAGTTTCCCTTTCCGCTGAATGAAGGAGAGCAGAGAAAGTGAGGATTCCCATCGCAATGAAGAGGAAAATGCAACTGGCCTGCTGGTAACACTGCTTCAGAGTGAACCCAAATGCTCTCATGCCGGTGGAGTGTCGAGCCAGCTTCAAAATCCGAAATATCCGCAGCAGCTTGACGACTTTGAGGACGTGGCTGAGCTTGCTGACCCGAGCCATGGCCCTGAGGTCTTCCTGAGCATTCACGTTCTCACTGTCAGAAAAGGCTTCGAAGATGATCTGGACAAAATAAGGCATGACTGCCACCATGTCCACGAAGTTGAGTCCACTCTTCAAAAACATTGTGATGTTTGGAGTGGTGAGAAGGCGAATTAAATATTCAAAGGTGAAGAACACAATGGTGATGATCTCCACCCATTCCATGTGTGTTCTGTTGTTGATTCTATATGTTTGAAGTTCCTCCACAGTGTTGAGAGTCATTGCGACGATGGAGAAGAGCACAAAAAGGTTGGAGACCAAAGTAAAAGCCTTTGCTAGAGCTGAAGAGTACGGATCTTCCACCATGTTCCACAAAGACTTCCGTATATTCCCGAACATCATGTCCCTAAAACACTTGTCGTCGTACTTCACTTCGATCTCAGCCATCAGCTCCCTATCCACCTTCAGGTTGTCCTTTACTTCATCAACCTTCTCCTCGAACACCGTCCAGCAGCAGAACTGGGTGTCCTTCAGGCTCAGGCCCCAGTATGCAATCTCCTCCTCGAAGTTGATGGGGCACATTTCCTGTATGACCCACAGCACTCCACTTGTGTAGAAATGGCAAATGTGGTGGAAGTAGGCAGGGTCACGGTCAAAGAAGAACTCGTTCTTGCGCACACAGTAGTCGTCGCACAGCATGAGGAGTTTTGCTCTGTCCCTGCAGAGGGCCAATGAGCCTATCCGAGTTTGAGGATATTTAACGGCACACTGTTTGGGGATATGAAACACTTTCCCCCCAACATTGACAGTGATGTTATGTTGCCGTTCAGGTCTGTCCTTTGCTTTGGGGCACTCTTCTTTGATGCCAAGACTGTCCAGATCCTCCAGAGATCTCCAAGCTTTGACAGTTTTCTCCTGAGAAAATGGGAATGTTCTGTTGTCCTCTACACTCTTTGAAAGACCAGTGGTAGTGACAGTCAAGCGGCGGTTTTGCAAACATCTCTGCAGGTGAAATTTCTCTGAAGCCATAGCAACTGTGTTTCAAGGCAGGAAGCCAGTGGAAAAGAAGAAAATGAGAATAACAGGAAACAATCCAGGAAATGTAGCTATACTAGCAGCACATGGTACCTTGCTGAATCATCAGAAAGACTGTTTCTGGTCCTGCAGGAACTGAAATCCCCAGTGAATGGCAGCTCTTCCTGTTTTTGTAGCTCACTTGTAACTGATATTGTAGTTCAATAGTGAGAGACAGAGATTCCCCTCTCAGACTGTTAGTGTGTGAGGAATTTGATATATCAGACGTCTAGATCAAGGGTAAGCAGCAGGGATGTCATCCATTTAATCTCATTGGTGCATTTCCAAGTTTCCTTAAGCAGTTAAATACAGGGGGGAGGCGGGATTAGGAAACAAAGTTGATTTAAGGATTTGAAAGTGATGAAACAAAGGGTTGGCTGTTTTTTTTTTTACATACTACTCTACTTCATTCATTTCCTCACACTACTCTCATAAGACTTATAAAGGGGAAGTATGAACTGATTACAGAGGTAGAATAGCATAAAACTACAGTAAGTCATCAAAAGCTGAGACAAAAGTCCAGTGGAGATGATCTGTTAGGAATTGCGCTTTTTTTGCACTCTTGTCAAATGTTTCACTTCACCTTTATTAAACCAGGAAAGAACATCAGCAGCCAGAAGAGAGCGCACCCAAATTATGTAGCAATAATTTCAATTCACAAAGAGACATTTTTTTTTCCTAATTGCAGAAGATTCCAGGATGACGGAGCAGCATAAAAGCTCTTTAATCTAGTTTAGTGTGGACCTCACAAATTAACAACAACAAGATGTTTATAGAACTAGTAAAGGTATCAGAAACCTTAGAAGATGATACTCTTTGCAACACAGTTGACAGCAGTCCAATGTGCCAAAAAGGGATTAATGTTCCACTAAGCTTAAGATGTTCCTCTGAATTTAGTTGCATCACTTTACAACAGTTTTTACGATCTACACCAGGAACGTGAGGAAGGAAATGATTGGTTCATTGGCAAATTTTTCTATCCTGGATCTGCTACAACATGGAATTCAATTTATAGACATGTTGACTGTAAAGATAATGGCCTTATACACAAAACGTTATTAAGTGTCACAACAATCCTATCTGTTTAAATTAAAGTCTTTCGGTCCAATTTTAAAAAACAAACTCAAACACAGACATATTTTATATTATTTCAATTCTGTACATTGTAATTCATTATCACCAGCCTGCACTTTATGGGTGTCCACAGGAGGAGTTAATAGTTGATGACAAGTACATTAGTAAACACGTATTTACAGCAAAAAAGTGTTAAAATAATAAATACATTTGGAAATCTTAATTGTCTGCCATTGTCAGGGCAAGGCAAACAGTTACCCACTATGAAACCAGGAAGTGCTTCTGTTGACAGTTGAAAGACAGCTGATTCCTAAATTCCTGTTTAAACTGTAGGTGTTCATTGATCATTTTCAACATAGATTATAGGCTGTGAAATATTATTTCAAAGCATATAGATTCATAAGTGCCTAAAAAACAGTCACTTATTTAAGAGCACAGAAAAATGTTTATTTAATTAACCTTTAAAGTAGCTCAACACAAGTTCTTATTCTCTCTTTGACAGCGGCTTTATCAACAGCGGCTTTATCAAAACCTTCCCTGATGTTTCAGGCGCAAGATACAGCTGTGTGCTGAGGTGCTGGCGCATGGCGTGCACTGTTTTCTTTGACGTACACTCAGATTTACAGTGAGATTTTATAGTCTCAGAGGTAGACAAGAGATGACTTAATTTGTAACAATGCAATCATAAAATACTTTATTTGATTTATTTACAGCACCAAACAGTTTTATCCATGGTGCAAATACAGAACAATGACTGTAATGCTGCCCAGAAATAAATAAAACCCTTGCTTAAAAATAAATACTAACCACACAACTCAGCAGGTTGAACACTTATAAAATTACCTCTCAATTAGTGCTGATGGATTTTTAATAGGTCCAACATACTTTCACAAAAATAACACAAAAAGATGAGATTCAAACAAGGCATGTCCATCAACCAAACATTCACACCAACACTAACAGCCTTTGTGTAGAAGAGCAAAAACAAAACCTCCCTGACATAGAACAGAAAGAAACACATTTGTTCCCAGTGGAGCACCAGTGCTCAGAAATCAACAAACCCTAAACCTGCAACCAAAGAAATCCTCTTTTCCTCTTTACTGACAATGATATCATTATACTGTATTATTGTCATTGGACATGCTAGGCTTTCTCTAAATTTTCCCTAGCATTAGTACCCACACAAATATTTGATAACAGAATAGTTTGGGAAATGTGCTTTCTTACAGTTAGGCAAGAAGATCCATGCCACAGCTGGTTAGCTTAGCTTAACATAAAGACAGGAAACAGTGGGAACCGCTAGCTTGGCTCTGTCCAAAACCTGCCTACCAGCACCTCTAAAGCTCATTAATAAATTAACACATTGTATCTTTGTTTAATCTTTGCAAAAACCTGTGTAAAAATGAATGCGGTTTTACTGGGGGTTAGGTGCAGACAAAGTTATCTTTGTTACCAGGCTAGCTGGTTCCTAGTTTACAGCTTTTGTGCTACTGGCTGTGACTTCACATTTATTGTACAGACATGAAAGTGGCATTGATCTTCCCATCTATTTCTCGGCAAACAAGCAAACTTCCAAAAATATTCATCAACACATCAAATAATCAAATACTGCAGTACAAAGAATTACAGTTCACTACCGTAATTTCTTCCAACATTCAAAGACTTACAAAGAGTGATAAATCTAGATTTTTGTGGCATTTACTCTTGGCGCTGAAGCCAAAAATCAGCAGTAGTTTAGTAAGCAAAGAGAGTTTAGCAATAGGGACATCTGGACCTTAAAGATATTTGATGAGTGATTTTATCAAAAGGATGTTACAATGCCACAATTACAGATTTAATTATTACAGAGGTCGCCTGTGAGAATCAAACCTCTACTACTTAGATGTATCGATTAAACTTTAAAAGACCACTTGAAATGAACATTTAGATTGCAAGAATACACAATCAATGCTGCATTATTCATCACAGCAAGCTTTTGAACTTTTGATACAAGTTACAGTTGGTTGGGTGCACACCATGTCCTATATTTACTGTAGACAAGGAACATGATAACAGACTCAATGATGGAAAAAGAGAGAGTAATTGAAGGCTGGATTAAATTTTCAAAAACTGGGTCTGAAAACCCCCGCCAGGTCTCCATTTGGCAAAATCTGATTAGAGAGTCAAATGTTGCCTTATTTCAGACCAATTAGGTTCTGGGAGCTGTACAGGAATAGTTCAGCATTTTGGAAAAAACACTTCTTCACTTTATTACAGAGAGTTAGACAATAAGATCGATTTCACTCTAATATCTGTACAATAAATATGAAGCAGGAGTTAGCAGCTGGTTCGCTTAGCATAACATAAAGACTGAAAATGGGTAAACAGCTAGTCTGGTTCTGGTCATTGGTAACAAAATTCACCTACCAGCACCTCTAAAGCTCACTAATCAAAAGAAAGGAAATTTCTCTAAATGAACTATTGCTTTAAACCAGTGTGCAAACAACTGTCCAGTGTGAAAATTCTGAAGGCTAAGAACGAACACCAGGTTTTCATAAGAAAATTGAGTTAAATTATTCATGATATCCCTGTTTGACGTTGGAAAGTAAAAACAATCCATAATCTGCAAAAGAGAAGTTTTGAGAATTGAAAAACATGAAATTAACATTTTAATAAATATTCAAATGAAAAAAAAAAAAAAAAAAAAAAAAAAAAAGAGTAGAGAGGAAGTGCAACTAAGCAAAACAATTAAATAAAATCTACGTTAGGGCCGCAACTATCAATTATTTTCAATCGATTGATTAATCCAATCGCAGAGTATTCCAATTACTTGTGTACTACTGTCATAGAAGAAAAAGAAAAGCAGAAAGTCCTAATTTTTGAGAAGCTGTAAGCAGCAAATGTTTGGTATTATGACTTAAGACAATTCATCCAATATCAAAATGGTCGTCAATTCATTTTCTTTCAATCAACCAAGCGATTCAACAACTAATTGTTTCAGCTCTACTCTACACAAATCACATTTCCACTAATTGTCTTGGAGACCTGCAGCTGTAACACAGCTGGTAACCAGCTGAAGAAAATAGCTTGATAACAGGGTTTGAAAATTAAGGCAAGAGTTCATCTGGGCTGATATTCAAAATGCAAAGAAAAAGACATGTGGTTGTTCACAGCTGCTCACAGCTTAGGTATAAATAAACATCCTCACCAGCACGCTTGATGAATTCTGGAGGACTGAAAGTAATGCTTTTTCACAACTAAAGATACAACGGAAGTTTTTGTTTGAAAGCCTTTTCTCCATCTGAACTCAAGTCAGTTCTTGAGTGACTAACCACCAGAGGAAGTTGGGGCGCGACAGGGTGATCAGTTTGATTTGTCTTGCTATCAGCCACGAGGTCACTGCGGGGGTTGATATGGCACCAGGTCAAGTCTAGTCACCCGACCATCTGTGTCAAACCCTCTTCATTCACCGTCCAACTCCAGCTTAAGCAGAGTTTCCTGGCGGCGGAGAAACACACGTCTTAGTCGACATACCTCACACCATAAGCCTTTAAACTGATAGAAGGAAGTCAAGCTGTGTTTATCTGGGAGGTACAGGAGTGCTTGTTAAAAAACCTTAGACATTTCAAGCAGAAGAAGCAAATAAACAGTAGAGTCCAACCGATACTGGAGGTTTGATGCCAGTACAATATTTACATTTGTTTAAAACATCAGAAAACAATTCTGTAAATTGCAATATGTGCCTGGTGAAATGAAATAATTAAAGATGCCTTAAATAAAATATAATAAGAAAACACATCAACCGTAAATTAACAGTAGATGTAAAAGTAAACTTCAGTGGAAAGTAAAATAGTATTACCACAACCACAAAAATTGAGATGAGTAAATGCAGCTTATAAAACATTAAATGAAGTGTGGACAAGCCTGTATTACAGTCCCCTCCGAAAGTATTGGAATGGTAAGGCAAATTCCTTTGTTTTTGTTGTTCACTGAAGACATTTGGGTTTAAGCTCAGAAGAGTAAAAGTATGAGACAAGAGATCAGACTTTCAGATCACATTTCCTGGTATTCACATCTACATGTGTAAAATCAACTCAGGACATACCACCCTTTGTTTGAACCTACCCATTTTTCAAGTAAGCAAAACTATTGGAACATGTGACTGACAGATGTTTCTTGTTGCCTTCTAGGTTGATTGTCCAAACATTATATAGCTCTGCATGACTAGTCTAAGTTTCCATCCTTGGTTCAAACCTATAAAGACTGCATTTCCTGTTAAAGAGGATAAACCAACTTGAAGACTAGAAAATCAAGCCATTGATAAGAGGAGACTGAAGGGAGAAACACCCCGAAACAAACAAGAACTGAAAAAAGCTGCGGTAAAAGCCTGGAATAGCATCACAAATGAAGAATGCCACCAAATATTAAATGTTATTGATTTTAAGATTATTTGTTCCTTTACTTTTGCTCACCTAGGAATACTGTGGTCTAATACAAACAGTGATATGTCCTACGTTATTTAACACATCTAGATGTGAATACCAGGAAATAAAAACTGAAACTCTTGTCTCATACTCATCTTTTGATCTTAAACCCAAATGTCTTCAGTGAACAACAAAAAGAAAAGGAATTTTGGAGGGGACAGTATGAACATAAAATGAATTTTACTATATGTTACCTGTAACTAATTAATATTAGAGCTGCAACTAAATATTGTTTTTATTGTCGGTTAATGCACTTTAATGCTGATTATTTTCATTATCACTTGAAGGCAAGGGGAAGGGCTGCTGAGGTGTGTGGATTTCTATTTTCAGTAGGTAACTTCACCTTTGGTGTTTACTCACAAACTACTTTAATCTGCTTACCTTGATTTTGGTAGGACAGTGGACAGACAAGGAAATAAGGGAGAGAGATAGGGGGCGACTCGCAGCAAAGGGTTAGGGCCCTTGGCTGGATTTGAATGCAGGCTACTGCAGTAAGGACGCAGCCTAGTACTTGGGTACACAAGTCACATTTTGGATTTTTTCACGCATGCTTTGTTTTTCACAGCAGCAGGTGAGCCGCGTGACGAGGACGCTTGTTGTTAATGACTAAGCCTATCAAAACAATCAAGACCAACGTGGTACCGAATGACATTGGCACAGGTGTGTTCAATGTTGCTTTCCTGGAAACTATCCACTGTGTCCGCGTCTTCTAAGGTCTCTATGTCTCTGTGTTTCTGTACAAAATGCTAGAATGGGTCACTAGCTGTTAATATACCTGGGCAGAATTTTGTCATCTGATCGGTTCTTCTGATAGGCCTGTATAGAGACTACCAATCAAACTATTTAAAATGAATATCAGTCAATGACGGAGCACCCATATATATACACACACACGTTTATCCCGTTATATTTGCTGGATCACCATGACAAGAGGATGAATCCTAATGACTTTGGCGATCCACTGACTTTTCCTCTGGTGGCACCAGCAGGTCAAAGTTTCCACTTATTCTGTTAAATATCTCGACATCTACTGAACGGATTGGCACACAATTTTACACAGACATTCTTGGTTGCCAGATGATTAATTCCTACTAACCTTGGTGATCCTCTGACCTTTCTTCTAGCACCATCATAATGTTGACGTTTGTGGGATGAATTACTATGCATTTTTGCTACACACATTCAAGCCTCACTCAGGATAAATTAAAATAACTTTGGTGATCCCCTCACTTTAGCATGGCTGAAGTCTCTTGTTTTCTTCAAGTTTTGGTCTAAAAAACTCAAAAAAAAAGGTCTCACAGGCGACCCGTCTAACAGCTCGCCACATCATAAATGCAATCTCCAAAATAACCATTAAGTGGAAAACCAACCCCTCTTTAAAACAATTATTTATTTATTTATATATAAAAAACGTGTACACACGGAAAGGTGTCTCCTCTCTGAAGGTGCCTGTGTCTGCTCTTTTTGTGTATGTGTGTGCGTGCAAACTTCTCTTGCCTTGATGAGACATGTGTTTGGACACATGACTGGCTCCTGGATGATGAGTGGGTCCTGGGACTCTTTGAGGGAGAAACTCTGCTCAGTGAGAGATGTGGACGGCCTGAACCCTTCTCTCCACCACCACAGAGCCATTCCCACCAGCAGCAGACTGAGAAACACTGGGAAATGCACATACACAAAATGAACCACTTTCAAGAGCCTCTGCAGACATGACGGAGGATATGTTGATTAGTTCAACAACCTCAAACAAAGAGGTGGCTTTATTTGTATTTCTACACTATATTTTGTGGAGTGCTTCTCTGGATACTCAGACGTTTGTCTGTGGACAGGCTTGTAAAAATATGTACGTTTTATTTAGCAGACCGTTAAAAACATATTGAGAATTGCTTCTGTCTTATTTAGCCTTTAGTAATCCCTAAAAACACATGTCTGTATTCTTAATAATTCTGTATGTGGGATCTAAAAGCTCAAAAGCTCATGGCCAAAGTTAATGCACAATGACTGTCTGTTGCAAGTGAATGACTCAGCAGGGAGTGAACACATCGACCTCAGTTTAATGTGACATCACATCATCACATTTTATATCCTCCGTCTCACAGGAGAAGCAATTAAGTTACATCAAACTAATGGAATGCAGCTGGGAAACATAACTAAAGGCAATATGTACAGCAATACTGTGCCATTAACAGCCTCTAGACTGCCATTCATTTCTGTTTGACCACTTAATGTAATTGGAAGACGTGTGTTGACACCATCTACATGACATGGAGCACAGGAGCTTGTTCCAGCCTTGTGGTGAGGATTTGTTTTGAATACAGATTTTGGGAAATAAACAGGTTTTTTGGGGGTGTTTTTTACCAATGAGAGAGAGGATTCCAGCATTTGTTGGATCAGATAAAGTTGATGCAGGAACTGATCGAGAAATGGCAGGGATTTCTTCAGATTTGTTTCGTCTGGTTTCCGGAGGAGTACAGCTGAACTCTGGACTCTCAGACAGCAGGTTGACAACGCATTCGTGCTGGCAGACCGTCCTGGTATTTCCGCATACAGATGGCCCTAAGAACCAGGCGAACATACAATCAGTTGAGAGGAATCATTGACTGCAAGGTGGCAATATTGTGATGCGAAGGTCAAAAGGACAGCAGCAACAACAGAGTGTCCCCTGACCTTCTTACAAAAATAAAATCCCTATAAAACTTGAAACATACAGTATGTCTTTAACTCATGTGACTGGTCATACCGTTTGGTTGAAGAACAGGCTGAATGATGACCACACCGCCCGGTGAGGTGGCATTTGACAACAGTACTTGGAGGTTGCCACCGTTGTGTTTGTTGGCTCTGCAGATTGAGTGCGTCACTTCTTCACTCCAATATACAAACCCCTGAAGCAGAATGGACAGACTTAGCAGAGCTGGTATTTTACAGCAAACAGGGCCATGAGTCAGTGAACTAAAGTCTTACAATGTTTAAAATATCCTTGTATGTTGAAATAATGTCTATATGCAGTCTGTGGATGATGATCATTTAGCAAATTTCTCCTCTCCTCTTGTTCATGTTGACTGTCAAGTCATATATTTGTATGACCACTACATTTGTATTCCAAAGTGAAAATAAATGGCGGACTTATTGTAAAAAGACTCCAAAAAGACTTAAAATTAAATCAAAATCTCTATATTGATGTAAAAATGTATCTCTACAATTGCTAAATCCTCAATTTCACTGCTCATGCCTAAACACCAGTGCTAACAATTAGATAAAAAATTTAATTTTATAATATGTCAAGAAAACACTGGAAATGACCTTGTAACAAAAGGTCCTAACTTAGTTACCATTTCATGTATATTTGTCAATGTCTTCTAGGTTTTCAACCTGTCTTCATTTTAAATTCTATATTTGAGTAGAAAAACACCTGGATGTTTGCTGTTCACCGTGGCCTGGGCCAAGCTAGCAGCAGATGAGATTTTTCTAGCCATTTGTCTGATCATTTTAAATGTTTAATTTGTTCGGCTTTTTCCTGTTGTGTTTTATGACTTGCAAGCGCCACACATGCAGTACATGTGTCTACAGGAATGTGTATATCAGATCAACCATGTTCTTGTGCGCATGCTGATAGAGCACAAGATGCAAACAAAATTATGAATTATATTCTTAACGATATCTTTTGGGTAGATATTTGCACAGATAGGAGTTCAAATTCAGGAGTCCATTAGTGACAGAAATGCAGCAGCTTTTAGACATGATTCAGCACAAAGGGAACAGGGAAGTTATGGTGTTACGAAATGTAACATACATACATACATACATAGTTTTAGAGTAACAAGACTGGTGCAGCACATGAAAAGCAGTAGTGATTTCTAGTTTCTACGTTCTGAAATTCAGTTCTGTATCTAGTGGGACATGACGTTGTCAGTAGTGAGAAATATTCTCTTATGGTTTTGAGGCACCAGCTGTCTCCATTATTTCATGGGGTTGTTATACCTCAAACACAGCCAGTCCGAAGGGCCGGTCCAGATAACCATTAGACTCTACCACTGTTTTACGGTGATGGCCCTCTAGATTTACTCTGGAGATGCTTCTCATTCCCTGGTCAACCCAGTACAACAGCTGACGAGGTATATCTAGAAGAAAAAAAAACAAAAAACACATGAAACATGACCTGCAACAGAGGGGCAACTAAACTGTAATGCTGTGATGGTCATGATCAGCCCTTTGATTTATGCTGGAAGTGCGCACACCCACGCACACACGCACACGTGCACACACACACACACACACACACACACACACACGCACACGTGCACACACCCTGTTCTAAAGCTGGGGTGGGGCTTCCCCTTTCAAACTTCTCTTAACAATTTACATAGATTATCAACAACAATTCCCGCAAGTTCAACAGAGGCCCAAAAATCACTGCACAATTATCTTTGTGCAATTTCACACAACATACCAAGAGAGAGAGCGACGGGGTGTCGTATTGACGAAGTAACCAGAGCCATCCTGTCCAAACCATCCAAACTAGCCCTCTCGATCTTTGAAGAGCTGCCACACTGAGCCCAGAAGAGCAGCCTGAGAAAACAGAAGTGGCTTATGAATAATGCAGCAGAGTTTTGGCCTATAGTTCTTTCTTTTTCCTGTTTTAAATCCATCGTCAACCGCTTATCCTGCGTACAAGGTCGCGGGGGGCTGGAGCCAATCCCAGTTTACATTGGGCGAAAGGCGGGGTACACCCTGGACAGATCACCAGTCCTGTTTTAAATGTTTTTTAAAGATTCAGTGTGTACGTTTTAGTGGCATCTAGTGGTGAGGGTTGCGAATTGCAACCAGTGGCTCACTGTGCTTTCACATGCTCCTCGATGGTCCCATTTCCCGAGTTGTGAAATCATTCTTCCTACTTAGTGTGTGTTCATGTGCTCTTAAGTCGGAATGTGGAATCAACATGGACGCTACTACAAAGATGTGTTGGATGAGCATTATCGGAGCATATAACAACACAGACATCTAGTTCACTGTACATGGACAGCAAACTCACCGTTATAACCATATTACAAATTACATGTTTGCAAAATATGTATACGTTATTTTGCACGAATCAAAGTTCTGTATACTTTTTATGTCCCATGTATGCTTTATTTCTCTATTTGCAATAAAGATTTATTACGTAAAGACGTGTGGTGGTCCATTTGTCCAGATTCCTCTTCTTTTCGTAATTCTAACAAACTAGTCAATTACTACTGCGACTACTACTACTACTTACATTACAACATTGTTCTTCCTCATACGTATTCAACGCTCTGAAGAGCCGTTTTTCCATTTGGGCTTCTTTAGAAACATGGCGGCGCAACATGGCAAAGTCCATGTAAGGGGACACGGGGTGTATGAAGATAGAAATGCTCATTCTAAGGTAATAAAACATAACGGTTCATAATGTAAGGTCTTTTATACACCATTGAAAACAATAGTTTTGTATATTATCTTGCATTTCTTTCAATAGACCCTCCTAAATATTACATACTGAACTTTTATGTTCGTCTTTTTATGTGTATTTTTCTTTTTTGAGAAACAAAATCGTATTTCACCAAGTTGATATCATTATTATTAAAGGATAGCGGAAGTTCTATGATTTTAAAATTGTGTGGGAAATTTATCATAAAAGTTATTCAGATTTTTTTCCTCCAAGGTGGCAAACAAATAGTGCTTCAACAAAGAAAACAGACAAAAACAATGAATAAGATAAAACCTAAAAGTATTTGAGCTGAGAACAAAAAGGCTAGCAATGTTTGAATCAAAAAAATGCAGCTCTTATCACTGACTGGTGAGATGCATGAATGAACCAGACACTTCAAACTCTTTATTGCACTGCTGCTATCTCTTAATATATGTATTGCTTTGTCCTATACTGTCACTCCCTGTGTAAATACATGCTTAAAAAAAGAGTCTTGTGTTTAACCACCTCTTACTGTACACAGTGACGTATTCGTTCATTCAAACCAGGTGAAAAGCTTTTAAACAAATATTTACTGTAATGATCATGAAGCAACAATATGTCGTCACAGCTCTCTGCTGACGTGAGTACACTGCACCTCCTTAACGATGCTTACTATTAATTCAAGTGAATAGTAAATATGCCTGGGCTTGCATACCCTTGGAGAGGATCCACAGCCACTGCGGAGACTTTATCCAGACCTGTGATAAGCGGACGCTGAGCTGAACCATCCAGCAGGCCAACATTAACCGAACCGCTCTCGATACTGGTCCAGTAGAGGAGCTGATGGATCCAGTCCACAGCCAGGCCCGACACTGAACCTTGCACTTTCAACACCAACACCGAATCTTGCGGCTTTCCATCCATGGAGACCCTGACAAACATCCAAGAGTAAAAGAAACATATAAAATTGATAAAAACATGGTGTTTATTCAAAGTTCAATTTAAAATTCTGTTCCACTTAATCCATCCAAATTCTGACTTTGACAATACATGCTACAGTGGGTTTACTCATATTGTCCTACGTAAGCTCAGAAAATGTGACAGCCAAATGCAACCCAATAACGGTCTTCCATGTTTGTCTTTAGCCCAGCTAGCAGCATTGCACTAGGGGTGGCAATATCGGACGGTCAGTCCACCACTTTAGTCCAGACTGAAATATATCATCAATTACTGGTGATCCTCTGAGTACTGTGGAATGTCGCCGAGAGGTTGACATTTTTGGTTCTGAATGACATGTCTCCATAATTGCTAGATGAATTGGCACAAGATTTGGTAGACATTAAAGTCCCGCTCAGGATGAATAATAACTTTTATGACCAAAAACCTGCTAATGTTAGCATTTAGCTCAGACACTTGGTTTTTATGTGGGGCCCTGATAATCAAAGTAAATTTTTTCAGACTTTTTCATTTTGAATAGTTAAATAATTTTGTAGGTTGATATGTTATTTATATTTTAATGATTACGCTTTTTTTGTCAATATGAATTGGCTGAATGCAATGTTTTTTGTAATTTGTAAAAAGATGCCAAAATTATGTCTAGATGTCTGTTTTGTCTGATCAGGAAGCAAATGCTTTGCAGTTTTCAACAGTAGCAGACTAAAATTCTTCCTCTCTTGGTAACCATTTCTCATTTAGACTACTGTAACTCCCTCTTTACTTGCATCATTCAGTCCTCTCTAGCCCATCTTTAATTAGCAGCGGGGCTATAACAAATACTAGTCACACATCACTCCAGTTTGCCTCCATTCACTGGCTACTGAATGAGCCTACTCTGTGCACACCCTTAACTTCCTCTTAAGCGCTTTCGTTGTGTTAGGAAATTCTGCACGCATTTGCCTGTAAATATGTTCAACTGGGTTATGTGCAGGGACTGAAACAAAATACATTTTTGGCCATAAGTGGGGGATTCGGAACATACTGCACATACAGATACAGAAGCTGCAGCAGCAGTTTGAGGAAGTCTCTATAAATGTTTTGACACATTTTTCTTGCTTTGAAAAATATAGTACATGTACTCAAACTGACCACATCCACCATGCACTGTGAAACCACAACCGCGTTTTGACAGTCATCGTTGGTTTCTGTAGGGCATGAACACTACTCAAAAAATTTCTGTCAAGTCAACATGAGAATAATTTAGTTATAAATTCCCTGGATGGATTGCATACTCCATGTGCCAAGGGAAAGTTTTAATTAAGTCTAGGGCAGGCTTCCTTTTCTGTCACAGAGCTTCCTTTACTCATGTTGCCAAACTTGCTTTGTTAAAAAATTACCAACTTACTAATTTTAGACTTCAGTGATGTGGTTTATTGAAATGCCTGAGATGGCGCCATCCGTTTTGTTAGTGGAGCCCCATATAACACAGACCACTGTGACTTATATGCACTAGTTGGTTGGCCCTTGTTTCATACACTTTGCCTAACTCACTGGTGCCAGCTCATTTATCAGTCCCCATTGTACCTAATTTCAGTGATCACTTTATCATTACCGACCCAAAATGTGGAATACACACATGCAAAAGATGTGTGACCAGAGAGATAAACCTGCTTTAGGTTTATCTCTCTGGTCACACGTCTTTCGGCTGCCACTCCTGTCAGTTCTCAGCTGCCAATGATTGGAACGAATTGCAGAAAAATACAAAAAATAAAATACGAAAAACAAAAAAACCTAAACACTGGACTACTGGACATGTAAACTTCACAGCCATGATGATGCCTTTCGCAAAACGTGGGACCCCTTTTTGTCATTTGTTGGTTTGAATATTTCCACCATTCTTACAAGAGGGTTTCTATCATAGCTCTGAATGCACTGGCTCAAAAGGGACACTCTGCTTTGCCATTTAATTTCTCTCCTTTTGTTTCTGTACACCTTTCCTTAATCATGCAAGATGTCTATGAAGATTCTCAGTCATCCAGGTCATAGTTATCCAACGAAGGTTAAAGTCAAGGGCAACTGGACTTGGTTGAAGATACTGGAAGACATTTCGTCCCTCATCCAAAGGACTTCTTCAGTTCTGACTGACTGAAACTCGGCTATTTAACCTCAGTGGGGTCGTTTGCCAGGGTCATCGATACTGCTGGTTTGTTAGTGTTCCTGGTTGCTGTAACGACAGTCGTTACAGTCGTTAAGGCTACCGGTGGCCAAGACTGAACGACCATCGTTGGTATCTTCACCTGAGGCCAATAGGTTACGTTTGTTGAGTTTCCTGGGAAGTGATGAAAGGACAGCATTGTAAGTGGGGGATAAGTGGTGGCGTAGACCCCCTCCCCTGTTCAATGACGGCTTCTCAACCCTTGTGTAGATGGCTTCCTTGACACCTCTTTCAAACCATCCATCTTCTCTGTCTAAAATGTGCACCTGGTGGTCCTCAAACGAGTGTCCTCTGTCCTTCAGATGGAAGTAGACTGCAGAGTCTTGACCTGAGGAGTTGGCCCTTCTGTGTTGAGCCATGCGTTTGTGTAGTGGTTGTTTAGTCTCCCCAATATACAGGTCTGTGCATTCCTCACTGCATTGGACCGCATACACTAGATTGCTTTTCTTGTGTTTGGGTGTGCGGTCTTTGGGGTGTACCAGCATCTGTCTTAGTGTGTTCTTGGGTTTAAAAAACACAGGGATGTTATGTTTGTTGAAAATCCTCCTGAGTTTCTCTGATACTCCAGACACGTATGGAATCACAATGTTGTTGCGTTTGACCTTCTTTTCCTCTTTCCCTGTAGTTTTGTTCTTCTTGGATCTTGTGGCTGTTTTCACAAAGGTCCATTTAGGGTATCCACAGGCTGTAAGTGCCCCCTTCAGGTGGTTCTGTTCCTTCTCTCTGGCTTGGGCGCTTGTTGGTATGTTTTCTGCTCTGTGGTGCAGTGTTCTCATGACCCCTAGCTTGTGCTCCAGTGGGTGGTGGGAATCGAACAGTAGGTATTGGTCTGTGTGTGTGGGTTTTCTGTAAACATCAATCTGCAGGCTCCTGTCCTCTTCAATGTGTACAGCGCAGTCCAGGAAGGCCGAACTGTTGTTTTGAACATCTTCTCGTGTGAACTGGATATTACTGTCCACAGAGTTGATGTGTTCTGTGAAGGCTTGCACTTCCTGGCTTTTAATTTTGACCCAGGTGTCGTCCACATATCTGTACCAGTGGCTCGGTGCTGTTCCTCTGAAGGAGTTGAGGGCTTTGTTCTCCACTTCTTCCATGTAGATGTTTGCCACAATCGGGGATACCGGTGAGCCCATGGCACAGCCATGCTTCTGTCTGTAGAATCCACCGTTGTACTGGAAGTAGGTGGTGTTTAGACAGAGGTCGAGTAATTTGCAGATTTGGTCAGGGCTGAGGCTAGTTCTGTTGTCCGGGGTGTTGTCTTGTGTTAGCCATTTCCTAACGGTTTCTACTGCCTCTATGGTGGGGATGCAGGTGAACAAAGAAGTCACGTCATAGGATACCATGGTTTCATCTGGATCCAGTTTTAGTCCTCGAACTTTGTTTACAAAGTCAATAGAGTTTTGGACGTGGTGAGGCGTGTTTCCCACCAAAGGAGCTAAGATGGTAGAAATGTGTTTGGCAATGTTGTAGGTGACCGAGTTAATGCTGCTGATAATCGGCCCGAGTGGGGCTCCTTCTTTGTGTATCTTGGGTAGTCCATAAATGCATGGAATGGCTTCTCCAGGATACAAACGGTAATATTGTTCACGGGTGATGGTGTCGTCCTTCTGTAACTGTTGTAGACATTCTATGGCCTTTTTTCTTGTATCCGCTGGTTGGGTCTCGTCTCAGTGTCTCATGTGTGTTTGTGTCCATTAGTAGTAGTAGTAGTAGTAGTAGTAGTAGTAGTAGTAGTAGTGTTGACTTTATTCTGGTAGTCCGCTGTGTTAAGTACTACCGTGCATCTTCCTTTGTCAGCAGGTAGGATAGTGATGTTTTGATCCTTGCTCAGAGACGTCACAGCCTTCCTTTCTTGGATGGTGAGGTTTGAAGGGGGGCCTTCGCATTAGAAAGAGCTGCAGATGACTTTAGTCTGAGCTGTTCCGCTTCTGTTTCTGTTAATTTGTTTTTCCTAATGGCCGATTCTGTGGCTGTGATGAGGTCTACTATAGGTAGTTGCTGTGGTGTAATGGCAAAGTTTAATCCTTTGGCGAAAGTCATGCAAATATCCTCATGTGTAACAACATACCCTCAATTTATTTTGTTTTTATATATTTTATATTACTTTTACTTGTATGACTCCTGAATCTCCCGCCTGTACAAATTTGAATCTGAATGTGTATGTGAGCCAAATGAATGTTTGTTTTGTTGTTCCTGTCTTTTCTTTTGAAAATAATAATAAATAAAATAATAAACAAATATATAAAAAAATTGACTGATTGCACGTGTTAATCCTAATCTGTTTTGTGCTCTATTATACTGTTTTTTGTTTGTATTATATTGTGTTTGCCGCCTTCTCGCCTTTAATGTCTCTGTCTGGCGTATTTGCACTTCCATCTATATAGAGATAAAGGTGAAGAAAGGGATGTCTGGGTTACATTGCTTATCCTGCTGCCACAGAGACCCAGATAAGCGGTGGAAAATGGATGGATGGGGTTATTCATTTGTTTACATATGTATCATAACTTGTGCTTTTCACAGTCAACTGTCACACCTCTCAATCATTGCTTTGGAAGCTATTATAGAGCGGTGAATGGTGGTCGCAGTATCTACAGCTCCAATCTGTTACCTATAAACGGAGCCCTGTCCTTGCCGGGCCCAGTACAGTGTTCGGTTAGCGACTATAGCTGCCACTGCCCCTGGCCCTGGCCAATGTGTGGTCGCTTCCCTGTACTCAGTCCCAGTGATGCTCATCCGTCGCATTCCTTTAGAAGAGGTGAAAACCAGTTGAGCCTCATCCCCTGGAAGAACACAAACACAAGTTTTTCTTGGTTCGTTAATCAAACTAGAGATGTCCTGAGCTGATCTGACTGAATTAAAGCCGATCTTTATCTATAACTAGGGGCAATAAGGCATCTTGTTTTAAAAAGGGTAAGAAGCAGCAGCTAAATTGTCTGGAATTATTTTAAAGTGGAAAATGAGCAATCTAATCTGTCAGCCATATCAGTGTTTAGTAACACATCAACAGACCTGATTTTAGCCACCACACAAGTAAAACTGTGATGTTATCAGTGGGAGTGCACAACATTTCAGGTTCATGTTGTGACATCTCAATCTAACTCAGGCCTTATACAATATCAGCACCATATCAGGAACGATACCAACCCAACCATAAAATTCACTAATACAATAGAATTGACGTCACACAACAGGATATCACAATACTAATTAAACACTCCTGAAGAGACTCCATAGAGACTAGTTCAATAATTACATCTCCAGTGAACTGATGGATGTTCACTAATATGTTTGTACAGCCCAACTCCCTTTTACACTGAATTGAGTCAAAGTTTAAGTAAGGTGGAACCACTCTGAGCCCCACACAATGTCAGCTTTGTAAACCAGATAGTATTTCAACCTGCCATATGCAACTGATAACAAAGAAATATCACAAGCAAACATGTATTCTAATCCATGCATATGTAAATACCATGACAGCATGTATTTCCAGTAGGGCTGCTAGCAACAGTGGGAAACCAACCCTGGGGAGGAAGTCATTTGATCCATTGCTAATATAAAACTAGTAATTAGGCGAGCTTTAAAGAAATTGGAGTAAATATCACATTGATGGAAGAATAATGTAAAAGTGTCTTTTTATAACAATTAAATACTTTCAGAATATCACAGTAACTGTGCTGCTCACACTACAAGACCTGTTTTTGTTTACGTTCATCCTGCTGTGCTCTCACTTAACTATATTTTCGTTTCCCATCTTACACTCATCCTCCAAGGTGCTTCAACTACAAGTGCATATAGTGAGCGTATAGCTCACAAAATAGTCAAGATGCATCTCAGAACTGCTCAAACTATTTGACACGTCAGGAGGAGCATGGTGACAGATTCTGTGACCATTCAAGGATTTTTGTCTCAGATCTCCAAAATGTCGGGGGCAAATGTGGAAAAAAAGTCATGTAGTCTGCACTAGACCATAAAGTGATAAAATGGTGACCTGTCCAGGCTGAACTCATGCTAGTCACGCCATACCAAAAGATTGTTTCCATCAGCGTATGATAGTGAAGGCATGCTGTCTCGCCTTGGCTAACACAAAAAGACACTTTTTTCCGAAATAATATAATCACAAAGCAAAGGCAAAATATTTACTGAGTATACAATAGTCACCAAGTAACTAAATTGATAATGAGACAAGATGCGTCGGGATTTGTCTGATTCAGCCAAGTAGATCAGACATCACAAAGGGAAAACCTTCTGAATGTTTTTACTAGCTGGGCAAAGTAGAGAAACAGCTCAATCAATCACAGCCTCTATGCTACTTTGACAGCAGGCTAAAGTCTGTTATTTATTAGCTTGATTGGTCCTTTTACCCAATAGACATCGCATGTAATGGTTAAGTTAATGTTTTACTGGTGGAAAACCCCAAATGGATAAGTTAATGTTTGGGATTATAAGTCAGCCTACTATTATCTAATTAATTTTATTAGTTTCTTAGGTAGAATGGTTTGCATAGAAGGCAAATGTTTATCTGGAGTCCCTGGCCGGATTGGTGCTATGGCTTAAATTAATACAATAATGTGAAAAATGGCATTGATCATTTTTTTCCCCTCACCTTTGGCCTTGCACTCTCCGGTTGTTGCATTCATCTGGTAGTCCTTGTGGCAGTCACAGGCGAGGCTGCCGTTCATGTGAACACACAGCTGATCACACACGTCGCTCTCCAGGCACATGTTGACCTCTAGACAAAAGAGCCAACATTTGAGAAAGGAGTTTCAAGGACACATACAAGGAAGGTTAAAATTTTACATAGAAAATGGAGTGCATGGAATTGCAGCTCCCATTACTTAATAGCAAAAACAGTTTACAGAGATGACTTAATACAAATATGATTCAAGTTTTACTATAGACCCCCCCCCCCCCCAAAAAAAAATCCCTTTAAAAACGAACCTTACAAACCTCTGGCGGATATATAAAAAGGTAATTTTGTGATAGTTCAGGACAAATCTTTATAAATGTTAATGTGAAATACTTGGCAGCTGTCAGCAGGTATCAAGCTGCTCTATTGGGCTGCCACTCACCCTCACACTGGCTGTCCCCGACCAGCTTCATGTTGTCGGGGCAGTCGCAGAAGAAACCCATCGGCTGGTCCACACAGTGATGAGAGCAGCCTCCTTTATTGACCTGACACTCGTCCTGATCTGTAAAAAAGAAACATTGTCATCATCATCAGTGGCTTCATACTAGAAGTATGCTGCTATTTTCACATCCCTGACAAGTGCATTACTAACAACAAAGCGACAGGTTCAGGCTCTACAAACGTATTTTTGTTCTGGTATGGAACATTTGTATTTAATAGTATAGGGACATCTCTTTATTTTAGAATTATATGATGTGGAAAATGTGTAGTTCATCCATTAAGCTCTGAGTTTTAGATGTTCTGACATTGTGAGATGTGTTTCTTGCAGTAGAAAGCAAAAGCTGGGTTTCATTTGAGTAAAATTGTTAAAAAGGACTTTGGTACGTTTGCCATTGAGCCAGTGTTGGTTTCACAATTGTGCTGTAGAGTCATCTGTGCAGTGGGGTGGACATTCATTTCCTGAAAATAAAATGGGAAATTTCTCATTTTGCAAACATTATGGTGTAATGGGGGATTTGACTGAAATGCAGGTACTGGACACATTAAAATGTTGACCTGATGATGGTGTTAGATGAAAAGTCACGGGATCACCTGTTATTACAATTCATCCTGAATGGGAACATGTATGTGTGTGAAAAGTAATTATAAAGACACCACGATGGATTATCTGCTGATTATTATGGAAACCAAGGTGACATCTTCAAATGGCTTGTATGGTCCGACGTTTACAACGACGTAAAACAGACAAAAACAGCAAATCATCAGCTTGGAGAAGCTGTAAAAAGCGAGTTTTGTCATTTTTTCATTCCTTTGCTTGATAAATGACTAAAATGATTAACGGTATTCAATTATCACAATAGTTTAGGAACAACCTTTTCTCCACCCACAGGAATTTTATAATTACTCCCAGTTCACGATAACAATCATAAAGATTAGCTAACACAGATTAGCTACTGAACCTGTTACACATGTGAAGATAAAAGCCTGAGTAGCTGTGTTTCTGTAAAGCCACCATGCAGTACTATACTGCTCTCCGCTGGCTGGTGACTCATATGTGAGCACTCATGAAGACAGAACGTAGGCATTTCATTCCAAAACCATAGACAACATCTTGCTGCTATAACAGCCTTTACAGGTTTTTGCAACCCAGCTGCAGGGATTTGTTCACATTCAGCCTACGCTTGCCCAGGTATGTAGAGAGGAAGCTCTCTCTCAAGCTTTTCATTCCTCACGTTTGTCTTTTAGTATTGCACTGATTTTGGGTGAAGACTTGACATGCAGTCGATGTTACAGTTAATCCCAAGGGTGTTGGACGGGGACGGTTCCTCTATGCCAAACTGGGAAAACCATTTATTCTTGTCTTGGCTTCGTGCACAACAGCATTGTCATGTTGAAACCGGATAGGGCCTTCCCCAAACTGTTGCCACAAAGTTGGAAGCACAATATTGATTATTGGAATAACTAAACCAAAAGTACACATATGTATGTGGATAGGATTTTCTTTTGTTTTGCGAGTTCATTTTTTTCAAGGACGTGAAGCCGTGTGACTCACCGCAGTTTTCCTCATCGCTGCCATCAGAGCAGTCTGATGAGTGGTCGCACCTCCAGGTGTGGCGGATGCACTGCCCATCTCCACACTGAAACTCAGACGCTGTACATGTGGGAGAGGCCTGCTGCAGTGGCAGGGGCAAACCACACAACTTTTGAGACTCGTCTTGCCCATTTTTGCAGTCAGCGCGCCCATCACACAGCTTGTTCCTGGGCAGACAGGTGTCAGACGGCCCGCAGGAGAAGAAAAAACCATCAGTGGTGGTGCAGTTCTGACAGGAAGCCTCGTCACTCCCGTCGCCACAGTTGTCCACACCATTGCAAAGGAAATGCAGAGATATGCACCGTCTGCTGCGGCAGGCAAATTCATCTTTCTTACACAGATGGCCTGTGAAGAGTCACAGTTGTAAGTTACAGCAATAACTAAGTTTGTACCACCCTCAAGTGTCTCAGAAGGCTTCAACACAAATATAATCTGAATGGCTTTGATAATAGAGTATAATCACAGTATTGCAGTTTCAGAGCAGCAAAAAATGTATAATTTACAAATGATTTTTTAAAAAAAAAGATACAAGTTTCAAACTTCTTAGGGATACAAGGCGTCTGGAAGTCCCTAAAAGTCTAAAAACATATTACCAAGCAGTTCAGATTAAACCCTTAGTAAATGCAACCCTGACTATTCAGCAATATGGAAGCTAATTTAATGCCAGGTTAAGGTCCCGCTACAGGCTATTACTAGAGAAAGTGAATTGAAACACCAACTAGGGAAAAAAAACCAACCTGTTTGACCTTTCACTCAAAACCTGGTTTAAAGTGGCAGTCCTTTGGGCCAAAGAAGCCCAATTCCCTGATCCCCTGGGAGGTCACAATACAGGTTTTATTCCAAACAGGCTGGATGCAAATTCTCAAACATGGCAGGAGCGAGTTCTGAATATTTGTTAGAACTTCTTTGAGAAATCTTCACTTAAAAGCTTCCACGATAAAAAAAAACAAAACAACGGCAGTGTGTCATGTACCTTATGTGTCATGTGGTTCAAGTATCTTCAACCAAGTCCAGTTTCTATTGACTTTAACCTTCCTTGGACAACGGCAGACATTGATCGAACAACAGTTGTCTTTGAATGAGCAATTCTGGACTAAAATCTTATGTGACTACTAGCTGAGCCTTTTGGCTGTCATAACTCAGGTTCAAGCTCAAACTGTGTTTAGGAACAACCTTTTCATCACCTACAGGAATTTTAAATGCACTCCCAAATGATGACAACATTCATAAAGATCGACTAACACAGATTAGTTAATGACCCTGTTACACATGTGAAGAGGTAAAGAAGCCTGAGGAGCTATGTGTCTGTAAAGGCACTGTGCAGTACTATACTGCTCTCTGCTGGCTGGTTAGTTAAATGTGAGCACTCATGAACACTTGAACACAGCACATGGGCATCTCATTCCAAAACCATAGGCATTATCACAGTTTTTTTAGAACCTGGCTGCAGGAATTTGTTCACATTCAGCCAGCCCTTGTCCAGGTAGGTAAAGAGGAAGCTCTCTCTCTCACTGTTCTCTTTTTCATTCCTCATGTTCGTCTTTTTAGAGTGTCCTATGTTACTTTTATGCTTTATTTAAAGCGCTTTGAATTGCCATGTTTTTGAAATATGCTATACGAATAAACTTGCCTTGGCTTTGTGTGAACAACTTAGTGCAACACCATAAATTACTTTGCTGAAAAGCGTGGCCCTGGTTTTAAGTGGAGAAGTCCTTTGGGCCAAAGGAGCCCTCTTCACTGACCCACTGTGTGGCCTACAATCCAGGTTTTTATTATTTTTTTATTATTTTATTATATTATTTAACAGGCAAGAAGCAAATTTCAAAACATGGCAGGAGCGAGGTCTCAATATTTATATGAAATTCTTTGAGAAATCCTCACTTAAAAGCTTCCAAGATAAATGCACAGTATATAAAATATATCAACACAATACAATAAGATTGTATCATCACATTGATAAAATATTTTATAAAAGAAGATCTGGAAAAAACTAGTATATATGGTCAGACACTTGTAACAATGGCAGACAGTGTGCTGGAGAGGCTATGAGAGTAAATCATTACCTTTTGTCCTGGGAATGCTCTGGGATTTACAGCAACTAGAAAACAATCACTGATAGGTAAGATACCAGCACAGCTACCTGGCTTTTCTAAAGCAAACATGTTTAGATAACATGGTAGTTGCCAGTAAAAAAAGCCATTACGAAAAAGTGTTTGTCAAGTACCACCCACACCAGCAGACATTAATGTTACATTTTCTTGTTTTTGCAACTTTGCCAAAATTTGGTAATACACCCAGAATTATAATAATAATAATAATCCTTATTTGTAGAGCACTTTTCAAAAACAAGTTACAAAGTGCTTTAACAAGTGTAAAGAATAATACAAAAAAAACAAGATAAGAGCATGAAAAATTAATATAAAATTAGTAAAATACAAGGGATAAAAGGGATAAAATAAAGTCAAATAAGATCGGGAAAAGCTCTCCTATAAAAGTATGTTTTAAGAAGGGACTTAAAAGAGTTCACTGACTCAGCCGACCTGATTTCCTCGGGCAGGCTGTTCCAGAGCCTCGGGGCCCTGACAGCAAACGCTCTGTCCCCTTTAGTTTTCAGTCGAGACTCTGGAACAGACAACAGACCTCTGCCCGAGGATCTCAAGGTACGTGCTGGTGCGTATGGGACTAAAAGGTCAGAAATATAACAAGGCGAGAGGCCATGAAGAGCTTTAAAAGTGATCAATAGAATTTTAAAGTCAATTCTAAAACATACTGGGAGCCAGTGTAATGAAGCTAAAATAGGAGTAATGTGGTCATATTTCTTTGTTCTGGTTAAAAGCCTGGCAGCTGAGTTCTGGACAGTCTGGAGTGATCAATAGATTTTTGGGTTAAACAGGTGAAAAGGCTGTTGCAATAATCCAGGCGTGATGAGATGAAGGCGTGTAAAATGGTCTCTGTGTCCTTAAAAGTTAACATAGAATCGAATTTTTGCTATATTTCTAAGTTGATAAAAACATGATTGAACAAGCTTTGTGGTGTGCTGCTCGAAATTTAAATTACTATCAAACCAAACACCAAGGTTCTTTGCCACAGGCTTAATGTGATTTACTAGGGAACCAGCAGATGGCAGTGTTTGATTTGCCATCTGCTGGGACCCGATGACCAGGATTTCTGTTTTGTCTGAGTTCAGATGGAGGAAATTATTTGACATCCATTTTTTAACTTCACAAAGGCAGTTGTTAAGTGAACTCAGTATTCCAGGGTCTGTGGATCTGACGGGCAAGTATATTTGTGTGTCATCAGCATAAATATGAAAAGAAATGCCATGTTTATGGATATTATGTCCAAGGGGAAGCAGATACAAGGAAATCAAAATGGGTCCTAAGACCGACCCCTGAGGCACACCATATTTAACTGGACAGAATGAAGAGACATAGTTGTTTACAGACACGCAAAACTTCCTATTTGACAGGTAGGATGAAAACCATTCTAGGGCAGTACCAGAGATCCCCACCCAGTGCCTCAGTCTGTCTAACATGATGTTGTGATCAATGGTGTCAAAAGCAGCGCTAAGGTCCAGGAGTACCAGGACTGAGCACATGCCTTCATCAGCAGACATTAAAAGGTCATTGGTGACTTTAAGCAGGGCAGTCTCAGTGCTGTGGTACTTCCTAAAACCAGACTGAAACTTTTCAAATATTTTGTTATTTTCCAGTACAGTGAGCAGCTGTTTGGACACAATTCTTTCTAGAATCTTTGCAATAAAAGGCAGTTTTGAAATTGGTCTAAAATTATGTGGGAGGGAGGGATCTAAACCAGGTTTCTTTAAAAGTGGGTTCACACAAGCCGTTTTAAAATAATCAGGGACATTACTCCATTACTTTCAGTAAAAATTTTGTAGGTATTACATCAAGTGGGCTGGAGGACACTCATTTGTGATACTGTTTTTAAAAGCTCAGACAAGTCGATGGGATAAAACTGGTTAAAACTCTCTTGTTGCTGGTGAGGAACCTCTGAGTAAGAGGCCACGGGGGTAATAGAGGCTCTGATTGACACCACCTTATTGGTAAAATAAGATAAAAACAACTTCCAGCTGAGGCACAAGGAGGGGTTGGGTTTACCAGCTGATCCACAGTCTTAAAAGAAACCTGGGATTGTGTTTATGTGTAGTAATGAGTTCAGAAAAATAGTGTGTTCTCGCATCCTTAACCATGTTATTGTAGTTAATTAATAAATCCTTCAGACTGAGGTAATGGACTTGGAGACTGGATTTTTTCCATCTGCGCTCTGCTTTCCTGCATTCCCTTTTTAGGCTGCGAATGCTGTCTTTATCCAGGGTTGCTTACTAGCTTTAGACGCAGGCCTAACCTTTAGAGGAGCAGTAATATTTAGTGACGACAAGCAGATATGATTGAAGTGATCGACCAGATTGTTGGTGTTGGAATCAGACAGGTGTTGGCTTTGGCTCTGAAAGAATGCACAAAACTTTGAAACACTTTGTTCATTAAAGATGCGACAACACACAGAGCTTGGTGAGGCGGCATGAGTAACAGGCGAATCGCAGCCAAAAACAATACATCTGTGGTCAGATACGGTCATGTCCACTAATTCCACAGAGGAAATGCTGACACCCAGGGTAAAAACCAAGTCCAGTGTATGACCACAGTTATGTGTTGACATGACATGTTGTTTGAAGTTAAAAGAAGTGGCCATATTTAAAAAGTCAGTTGCATTAACATTGGTGGGGTCATCAACATGAATATTAAAATCGCCACAAAGAACAATTCTGTCATAATTTAAAACCAGAGTAGATAAAAATTCAGGAAGTTCTGATAAAAATCCTCCGGGCGGTTTTGGGGGGCGATAAATATAACAAATGTGATAGGTTGCAGCCCTCCAACTTTAAGAGTGAGAACTTCAAAGGAGTTAAATTCATCACAGCGTACTTGATGACATTTAAATTTTCCTATACGCTCACTAGCCCACCACCACGACCACTGACCCTCGGTTGACTAAAACAATCATACTGAGGCGGACACAGTTCAGCTAGCTGGCTATAGTCATTCATTTGCAACCAGGATTCAGTTAAAAACATAAAATCTAGATTGCAGACAAGATAAAATCATTTAAGATAAAAGTCTTACTTGAAAGTGATCTCACATTGAAGAGAGCCATTTTAAATGAGTTTGTTCAGGGTGCTGGAGTTGGTGCAGTTGTCCTAATCCTTAAGAGATTACTATATTTCTGTGTGGGATGTGCACATTTCGGTTTACTGGTCTATGCGTGATGATGACAGCAATAGAAGTCTGTGGAACAGCGCTGGGAGCAGACGGCTTTACATGCCAGCAGGTGGAGACAGTTGTTTGTGGCAGTGAGGCAGAGATCTGTTCAGTGAGCGGTGGTGTGTCCAGGTGTGCTGCATGAATGATGAGTCATTCACGTAAGTCATGTGAGGACCGCACCACATGCTGTATGTGCGCAGCTAACATTTCTGAGCCCCGTTTGTTTGGGTGAAGTCCGTCTGTCTTAAAAAGAGACATTCTTTGCCGTTTATTAAAATTATCCACATAAAACACACGGTGAGCCCTGCAGGCGGACTGGAGCCAGTCGTGGAGGCCAAGGATTCTACTGAAGCGGCCAGCACCGCGACCGACTGTGGGAATGGGACCAGAGATAAAAACGGACTTTCCACACTGCTTTAAAAGTTAGTTTAAAAAGGATATAAAAAATGTAACGAAAAATAGTGGATTAAAACTGGATAAGAAGACGCTTAAAATCTAATTTTGTCAGCTCAGACTGCCGAAGAGCTGTGTCATTTGTTCCGACATGGACTATCACTCTTGTGATGGAGGACGGGAGCGATGGCATCAGGTCCTGGAGTTTTTTTAAAATGTCAGCCGTGGTGGCACCGGGGAAGCAGCGAGTGGTAGCGTTAAAGAAATGGATGTTTCTGGTTATGGAGTCACCAATTATTAGTGTGGTTGGGGAGAAAAAGGGACGAGGAGATGCCGGTTGTGTGGTTCCAGAGCAGGACTGAGCAGAATCTGCTTCAACACTGCGTGCGGACTGAGGATGGAGTGTGTGAGCTGCCGAGTGTTGTGTTGGAGCAGCAGTAACAGACCTGAGAGAAGGGCTACCCGACAGTGCAGGGTAGAGACGGCCTCCGGAGCGTCTGAGCACAGCCTCCTTCAGGATCCTACGTCGGGAAGCGGAGGCTTTTGACCGGGATGACGGCCGCCGATCAGGTCCGGCGGCCCAGTGCAGGAGATGTAGCCGGTGGAGGAGATGCAACAGTATCGGGGAGGCACTGTCCGCCGAAAGAGATCCGTATCAGGGAGACTCGAAGCCGCAGGTGCATCAGCTGGATGGACCGGAGTGTCGTCAGACAGGGCTGCATAGCGGTTGGAGAGGCCGATGTGCGGAGGAGAAGCAGCCCCATCCGAGCCTCTCTTGCAGCCACGGACCACCACTTCAGCCCAGGTTGACTGATGCTTCAGAGTCGAGCAGGATGAAAGCCTGGGAAGGCTTTGAGGGGTCCCAAAACACGGTGTCCTGGATGTTGGCGGTTGCGCTAAGAGAAACAATCTGTTTGGCTTGTACTGAAGCCACATCCATAAAGCCAGTCAGCAGGGAATCTTTCTCTTTGAGTTCCTCTGAAAGTCGTCGGATGTCTTCCATAAGGTCAGCAATCTTCTTGTTCGCTTTCTTAAGGAGTGTGCAGTCCTCATGGGGCAGAGTTATCTCGGCTTGCATAGTCACCGGAGCTTTGTTGCGATCAGTAGCGTTGATCGCGTTTTTACGGTCATCTATCTTAAAATCCATGTTGGATGACTAAAATCCTTAACCCACGTAAAACTTAAATAAAGTTAAGTTAAATAAAAAGGATATAAAAAATGTAACGAAAAAGAGTGGATTAAAACTGGATAAGAGTCCGGTTTAAGACGGAGCTTCCGACAGGTGGCTACAGACGCCAACGCATGCGCAGAGTGCAGATTACGTCAGCAATTACGTCAGAGATCTTGTGACAAGAAGATAAACACAGTTGGACTGCATCTAATGATTATTTCATAGTCAATTAATCTCAATTAACCAATTAGTTGATTTGGTCTATAAAACAGTGAAAAATAATCACTGCTTCCCAAAGCCCAAGGTGATGTCCTCAAATGTCTTGTTTGGTCCACAACCCCAACGAATTTACTGAATTTACCAGAAAATGTTCACATTTAAGAAACTGGAATCAGATCATTTTAATAATCAAAATAGTTGCCGATTAATTTAATAGTTGACAACTCATCAATTAATCAATGCAGCTCTAGACCATAGTATAATAATCTGGGCAAAACCTCCAATGGTTGATACATTTACATCACCTCACCCACTGCTATCTTAATTTTCACCAGTTCTACAACCCCACCAGTGTCTCCATCAGGTGGGTATACCTGTACACCACATGGTGTGACTACTTGTGTAAAAAATTACGTATTGCATATCTCTTCTTAATAACACTTTAAGCTCTTTTTCCTGTTAGCCTAACCTGACAGAAATTATATAGGTATGTGTTGGATTGGATCATTTGCTCTTAATCCACTTTCTACCAGTAAAACCACATTCTGCTGCCAAGTCCTGCATGTCTAGTTTGCTTTACTTTCTCTTTACTTTGGTCGACATTCAAAACCAACAACTTTCAGGTCTCACATCTCTGACCTCTTAGTACTGCCAATATTCATGCCTGCTGCTGGCATTACTCACATCAACAATGTTTATGTTCAACGCCTGCAATCACATCAATCCCCTTTAAAATACGGTCTCCTGCGGGGTTTTTCTTTGCACACATTGTGCAACTTGTGGCTCACACTGAACACCAAATCCCTCTGGAATTCAATATCAAAGTCTCTAATAACTTCAACAGGATTATAAGAATCTGGAATGGTATTTTCTCACACAGTACCAGAAAATTAGACGATATCTTTGCAACACAGATATTTCAAATGCACAAGTCAATATACTGCATGCCTAGAATTGTGGAAAACTAAGATTTAAATGAAAATTTACTGTAAACCAAGTTTAAAATCATCATGAAGATGTTTGTGAAAACATTTATCACTCAGGATTTTCTGCTTTAAAAAAACAGCAGGGCTAAACACAACTCTGCTTTAAAGTCGGTTACAATCGGCTAAAACTCCATTACCCAATACTGTATGTGAAACAAGACAACAAGTGTAGGAAAAAAGGCACATGCTGCCAAACACAATAATTACACATAGTGACTGTCTGAATCTTTGACACCATTTGTGTCAGTGAAGCCTCTGATAGAGCAGAAACTGAGAAAATCCCAGATAACCACCTTTGTTCTACAGTCTTCAGCCAGTGTGGCTCACCTGTGTGTCACGGCTGGATGATGCCAGTCTTGCATTAAACAACCCATCTATCTGTCTGCCTCTCTCTCTCTCTCTCCATATTAAAGAGGGAAGTGCTGCAGAGCTACTTATAAAATCCCTTTAGTCAATGGACTTTCAATGAGCACTTGTTGTTGAAATCTGCTACATAAATAAACTTGCCTTTCCTTGCCTCAAATGACTGGATTATTTCCCTGTCAATAAATGCCAATTGTGTGTTTATTGTTTGGTTTGGTTTATTGTTTGGTTTATGCAGCCAAATGTGTGCAAATGTGTGCATTGTTTGGGATGGGATCATCTTGTCAACACTGTACTCACCACAGCTGTGTTCATCTGATCCGTCCTCACAGTCAGTCTGTCCGTCACACACACTCAGTCTCGGGATGCACAAGCCATCGCTACACCTGAACTCCAGCTGCTTGTGGCAGCCAGGAAGAGAGTGACCTGCAGCACCTAAAGCACGGACAGTTTACTGTTACTGTGCAGAATGTCGATTAATAACATAACTATTGACTAGTTGTGTTATCATTGGGCATCAAAAAGGACAATATAATTATAGTATGCAAGAGGAAAAGTCATGACAACTTATATATTATGTTTGATATGCCAAATAATTAAATAAAGGATCATCAAAAAAATAGTATACTGCAGAACTATCACATTTTCGGTTGTTTTATTATGTAAACTACATGATCATGTCATGTGGTGACATACAGCCTTTAAGGTAAGACTGAAGTTATTGCATACAAGACAAAATAAACATTTTCTCTCAGTTTTGTGTTTTGCACCCCTGTTCCATCACATTTTAAATCACAGAATAAAATGTTATTCCTAATAAATCAAAGGGTATCTATCTTTAGGCATACTATACAGAACAATTTCCTGTTCAAATGTGATAATGCTAATGATTAAATTTGGACTCAGAGAGCTAACAGAGCTACACTGACCCTTTACGAAGTTTGAGCCCTTTCACAGTCTAAGTTTGAAATGGCTATCATTTTTAATTTAAATATGGGAGGTGTCGTTTCAAAAAGTACGTAATTTAAACACTTGCAAATGCAAATACGTAACAATGCACTGCAGCGAAGGGGTCAGATGACATCCTTATGTTTTCATCTTTCCAGCTATGTATTGACACATTTCAAACATACTTTGCAGTCGAAATGTGAAAACGATCTGGTGCCGGGTTCAGACAGTAGCAACTTAAATATTATACATACTTAGCAACACTAAAATCAAGGAAAACATTACTTGTCAAAGATCCAGTTCACTGTAACGTTAGTTTGCACAGTAAGTTAAACAGACTTCATTCAAACTGACAGGTCTGGTCGACTGTAAACTTTCAATCCGTTTTATTTTAAATAACGCTAAAAACAAGAAGCTCGTTCATTTCACACACACGCTCGAGTGATTCCTGTTGCTTACCACAAATACAGTAGCAGGTTAGAGGGGCGATCAGAAGAAATAAACCTCCAAGGTGTCCCATGCTCGATGTCCTCCGCAGCTGCATCGCCCGCACGCGGCGCGGAAATATGACGCAAGAGTTGATTCCGGTGAACCTGCAGGTTTGTGAATGAAAAATTACCCTAATTTTTTCTGTGCCATTATAGTTTTTGATTTAAAATTTTTAAATCTGCTGTTCAGATTTCTATCCAGTTATTTGCTGATTTGACGTTGAACACGGTAAGTTTTTTAAATTATGATTTTTTTCTATTTTAAATCACATGAATTGTGTTTGGTACCTATCTATATACAATTTTTTTTTTAACATTTGTATTTATATGTCTGCACACCCACACAGGTGTTTCTTATCACGTTTGCTATTGGACCTCCTCTCAAGTGGAAGTTACGCTGCAGTATTATTAACTTCACTACTCAACTCAAGTAGCCTGCAAATAGGCCTAAAACTAGAGGTAAAGTAATTTTTTTCCATGCTACTACATTTCGGGAGGGAAATATTGTACTTTACACTAGAGTACATTCATTTGACATCTTTAGTTTAAAATTTAAGATTTCTACAAACAAAACTATGAAGAGCTTATAACATGTTTGTTATAGGCTACATTAAACTACTGGACCTAACAATATAAGTAGAGATGAAACGATTAGTTGATTTATTGATTAAAGGTTAATGGCAGCTATTTTAGTGTTGAAGTAATGTTTCATGTAAAAATGATTCCAGCTTATGAAATGTTAGGATTTACAGCTTTTTATTGCAATTGTTTTAATAATGTTGATGTTTGGACTATTGGCTGGACAAAATAAACATTGTGAAAGTGTCACTAATTTCTCAAATTTTACAAACCAACCAATCAAATTGATTAATCCATAATGAAACTATATATTAGTTACCTTCTCTTAGAAAATAGAAAAAGTCATCATTATCTTAACATTTTTGCCTTTACTTAAAGAAAAATACAGAGTTAGTGGAACTTGTAAATCTAGTGAGTTTCAACTGTGCAGCTTTTCAAAGCTAAGGATTAATTGATTAAAGCTGGTTAATTGAGTCGTAACTAAAAAGAATATTGTGTCTAGATGCAACCTGCATACAGCCGGGCTGAGAACACCTGCAGCACCAAATGCATGCATTCCCTTGTCCTCACTGTGCAGTGTTTCTCTATTATATCCTTTAACATGGGGATCAGTCCTTCAAAATGTATATTAATAATTTGAATATTTTTGTTTTCTTTGTGGGGCATCTTGCTGTTTAAAAGCCTGTAAACATGAGGGTTTTTTTGGTCTCTTTGTATTGTTGAAAGTGTATATGTAGGTTTTAGTAAGACTGAGGACCGGGGTGCGGATACAGAACACTCAAAGCCTGTCAAAGTAAAGAGTTTATTCACAAAGGACTAGTACAAAATGGTCGTGGGTGAGATGTGAGCGGGGGCAGGGGCAATCCGCTCTCCTAGAGATCCTCCAAGCAGGGCAAATGACACCGGACTCAGCAACTTGAAAAAGGAGATAAACAAAAAACATTAATCTGGGTTTAGGCAGAGACACACTGGAAACAGACTAAATGCTCAGGAAACAAGCTGGCCTGAAATACTCAACCAAGTTATGGCTAGGAATAATCTGGCGACAAGTCTCAGGGAGCCCCACATCTTAAGACCAGGTGTAGATGAGGATTGGAAACAGGTGTGTAGCCTTGCCGGGCGACCAGCTCCCTGCCAAGGGAAAGACACACCCACAGAACACCACAGGAAGCAACCTCCAACTGTCACAGGACCAACTGTGACAGTAAATGTATGATCTTTAACATTTTCACTGGGCTAGTTGTAACAGAGTTTTTACAGTGTGGTATTAGTACTTTTACTGAAATAAGGGATCTGAATACTTCCTTCACCACATTCAAAATAAGTCTTCCCTCTTACAGCTAAAGCACAATGAACAGGAGCATTCAAGAGGTCAGTGAAACAGCTTGTACCGGCTCACACCATGCTGAGGAGGTAAATTAGCTAAAATAACTGAAATCATTTGTGCGGGTGAGTTGGTGCTTTAAAGCATGAAGACTAATCTTGCAACTCTAAGAAAGTCTCTAATTTGAATTTAAATAACTTGTAAGTGGGTATGTGCATAAAAATTCCACATTGACAAATACAGAAACATTTTTCTTTTCACTTTGAAAATATCAAGAAACACAAGAAACATTTCCTTGACCCACTGGATGCTTTGGCAGGTTCTTCATAACAAACTTTCTGTGGGCATTCATTTCTCACATCTGCTAATGTTTTAAATTACACAGATACTTAATGACAAATTTTATCATTAGGAAACTAATGATAAAAATTATGCTAAATTTTATATTTCATGTAATCAGTGTTTACCACTAGTGTTAAGTTAAATGCTTTGTTCTCCAAGATGGGTCACTTGAACACATCTTTAATTTTGGACTTTGTGAGGCTGGACTGTCACAACCTCTTGGAGCTTCCAGCTGCTAAATTGGCACACATCTACTTAGTCCTTCCTGCTATTCTGCTCACCTTGCACCAAGTATTTCCAAACACTCTTTCAGATAGCAGCAAGTCTATTCACACAGTTGACACTGATGATTCAAAAACCATTTCACATTTGTTCAATAACCAGTTGGACAAAAAAAAAAAAAACTTAAATAGAACAAATTTTATTCACACTTTCTATTGTACAGGATACAACAAACACACACCCAGTGGTCAGGTCTCTACAGCAGGTTTGGATGGAGAAGTTAGGTTGTTGATGCTGACATAAGGGTTAGTCCTGCTGCTCAGAGGTACGGCTGGTCTGTGGAGAGTGGTGGCTCCTTATATACAGCACCAGGGGTCACTGGAAGCTTTGGGGCTTCAGCAACTTGACTAGAAGAGATAAGAGTCAAGAAAATATTGTAGGTACTTAACTGAAATATTCTTTTTGTAATGTTTATCAGAGATACATAGATGTCATTAGAGCTTCAGCGATTTACTGATTAGTTGTCAACTATTTAATTAATCACAAACTAACTTGATAATTAATTGATGGACTTGAAATTTTTACAATTCTCTGATTCCAGCTTCCTAAATTTGAAGTAGTAAACTGAATAGATTTAGCTTGTGGACAAAACAAGACATTTGAGGATGACATCTTGAAACAACGATTCACATGTTTGAACATTTTCTGACATTTTATAGACAAAACAACTACTCAGGGAAAATAATTGACAATGAAGACAGATGTCATGCAATCATCAGATATCTAAGTTTTGGATGTTTGGCAGGTGTAATCAAACAGCTGGATTGTTGTGTTGTCACAAAATGCACATCTCTGATACATCCATCCATCCAAATTGGTGTACTCCGCGTATCTTTCTGCAGCCACACTTATTCCAACTATGTATACTGCATTAACATAAACTGTTTATGATTGTTCACATTGGCCCCATCTTACTCACATTCCTGCTTTCATTGTGTTGGTGTACTTCAGGTCAGAACAATATTCTTTTGCTAACAGTCTGCTGTCACTGCAAGCTCAACCCTTCCTGTGCCGGAGTTTCACAGTAAAGTTCCAGCAAAGTGAATTGTGAAAGTAATCCAGCTATGTTAATGTCCAACATGACATTTGTAATAATCAAAGTTTTGCCCGGTACTACTACCATGCATGAAAACGTAGTGACTGTGTCATTTACCTGCCAGCGGTGAGAGCCTTCTGTGAAGACATGATGACCGGTGGTACTGACTCTCGTCCATCTCTGGTGTAGTAATAGTTGGCATACTTGGGCTCGGTCCCACAGGCAGTTTTGGTGGTGGCTGTGTCCTATAGAAAAAAAGTATTGTAAACAGAATTTACTTGTATGTTCTGTGGAATAAAAGATCTACTTAAAGCTGTCCAAAAGCAATATAATCACCTAAGATGGACACAAAGAATTCCCTCTTGTTTTTGGAAACATAGGAACAAATGTCTGTACGTGTTTTAATCAGTGGACCTGTGAAATGCCATGATCCTCACATTTTTCTGCACTGTTGTTTGTCCTTGTTTTGCTTTTTATTTTTCCTTTCCTGATATGGACCAGTGTGTGAATAAAGTTGTGGTTTTTTTATTGACTAATTGCACTGAATCTGAAGTGATGCGGATCCAAACTTGCAGTTGAGGCAGGTGTGCCATTACTAGTCTGGCCCGCTGGGTAGTATTATTTAGGCAATACGTTAGTACTTCAAAAACATGATACTATTTGCTTAGTGTCTGGGGCCTAAATACAACTTCAGATGGCTTAAACAGGGTTTTCCTGTTCACAAATTGTGTATTTCTTATGATTGTACTGTATTTTAATGTTTTACATTTATTCATTCACTCAGCTGAACTGGAGGTAAGACAACCTATAAATATATCAATTTACTGGGTTCTAGCTGTTGCCAGAGACAATAAAACTGTCCTTGGGTGTAGCAGCACGGTGAGGAAGCTAAGCTAACGCAGTAAGTCTTACCTCTTTGCAATCTCCTCATATCTCAGCTGCAGTTTGGCTTGCAGGTCGTGCTGGGGAAAAACACTCATTAGTAATAGTTGCTGAGAATCACACAGGCTAGCTATATGTCCTCTTCCTTCACATGTAAGTTAGGTAACGTTAGCTATCATTCAAGCAGCTCGACTGGCTAACGTTAGCTCTGAAAAGCTAGTAAGAATTGACAACTACTGCAAGTTAAGTTTGTTAAGATAAAGGTCTGGCACGGTTATAAAGTTTGTCTGTGGTTGTGTTTCTTACCCCAGCTAAAAAATTTCGTAGCCTCTGGACGATTTTGGTTGCAGTAGCCATGTTTGCTGTTGTGAAGGACACGGGAGTTCTTCTTCTGCTACGTGAGGTAACGTTTCTCAGCGAGTCAGTGACACCTA